TTACCCAGAATGTATACATATAATTTTGAAATGGTACAGAAGAAATTACCACACCAGCAAAACAAATGAAGCCTTCCAGTAGGAGATCCTCCTTGAAGTAAATTGTGAATGAGCTTTGCATAATGAATGTGTTTTCACTGATTATCTGGAGATCAACCCCACTGTAAAATGGCACAAGAAACTAACAGAGCAAGACTATGTCAGGTGCCAAGGCATTTGTCTGCTTTCCAAAACCACTTAAATATTCATGCCTAAATGCTCACTAGATCTGCACTAAATGCTCACTAAATCAAGCTTACTAAAAGTGATGTTTTCAAATGTTAAGATCCTTCAGAAGAAAGTCAGGGTCCAATAAACAACAACCAAACTAATTCTGAGTTTCCATAAAATATCCTGACAGGTTAAGTTTGAGCAGAGCTAATGGTATCTGAAAATATTTAGGAAGGAGAAAGCAAATTCTATCTTTTAAACTACTGTATATTTTTTTCAGTATTTTTAGAGGTTTTTGCAATTGTTTGTGCATGTGTCTATATATGCAAATCTCTAAAGAGTCATTAAAACAAAATGAAAATAGGACTAATCTATATCCCGTTCTCAGTATGTGCCTAGATGATTTTATGGCCACTTTAGTTAGTATATTGTAGGGAACAAAACAAAAAAAAAAAAGAGAAAATCAGGGTATTAAGAATGGAAAAGAATGAGTCTTTACACTGAACAAGAGAAATTTTAATGAAAGTTTCAAAGAAGATAAATACAGCCACTTTTAAATTGCCTTCTCCCAGTCTGCATTTTGACTATGTAAGCACACTGCCCACTGTTGTTACTGGTTGATAGCAATAGAAATTTTCTAATGGGATATTGAAATAGAAAGTTTCTAACAAAAATAAACTCTAGCATTCCCAAGCACTACCAAAAAAAAAAAAAAAAGAAAGCAGTGTTTTGCTTTTTCAGCTAGGAAGAAATATGGAAAAAAAGTGCAGTGAAGTCTAGAAAAAGAATGTCCTGAGAAGCAGAACTGACAATGAGCTTTTGACTGACTGCCCAGAGCTGTGACTGTCTTCCCTGTTGCTTGGCAACTCCATGTTATCAGAAAGAAACTGATATTAAGTTGGAACAGGCTGGATATGGTAATTTACGTGGGAAGATACTCTTGCAGTGGGAAAACCATTTTATTTCTAGTGTGTGTCAGCATAAGTAGGTTTCACATGATGAACTGTAGTACATCCCCTGTTGGGTGCATTTTACCTAAAAAGGTAAAGAGTGACTCTGCCTTGGAAAGAGACTGTGCAGGAAAAAAAAAGAAAACCAACAACACCCCCCCACACCTTGTTATTCATTAGACCTGATCCTAGTTTCTACTTGGACATTTCTTCCAGTAGTAGTGACAAAAGATTGTTTTCATACCTGTGTGGATCCAGTGCAGATTAGAGAGATGGAACTTGATCATTGTCATTTATACTATCTCAGTCCCTAATTGCTGTCAAGATTTGCTCAAGACCTCACTGTCTTATACAAACAATAAAAGATGATCCTCATTTTATCTAAATAGTCCCTGTTCTTTCTTTTGTGTTGGCAATAGTTAAGTGCTAAGTTTCAATTGCACTTTATTTCTTCCCTGCTGAAAGAAGAGGCTGCACATGTAGCAGTTACACAATAATTTGAAGACCATGATAGAAACTGTCATTCAGCTTTGAACTTGGCTGGTACTGTATGGCTGGGAAAGGACTCAATTTTTATTGACGTGTATGGAGATAATGGCAAGGGTATGTACGTTAAGCAAATCTTATCGTGAAAGCTTCGAGCCACAAGAGATATGTAATCCATAATTGTGCTTTTATAGTTTGGTTTAGGTCTAAGATTTAATTAGAAAGAGAGAAAGCAGAGAAGACTCAGGATTTAATGCAAAGCCCTTTTTCTTAAATGTCTGGTTTACTCATAGCTCTGCTGAACCACCACCACTGTCTCTCTGCATTTCCATCCTGCGTAATTTCTAGTAATTTAACACCAACAAGCAGTCCTACAAGTAAGGAAATACTTCACATGTCTTCAGGACTCCCTGTTCTGGCTTTGGTCAGCAAAACACTCCTTGTCTCCAGGCTTCTCTCTACTGCAGAGTTAACTTGAAATATAACTCAACTTTTGCCCTTGGCTCAAATCCCAGCCATACACAGAAACTTCTGACTTGAGTATGTTGATGCTGTTCAGCTGAAGGGATTGGCCTGGACTGTCAGAAGGCACAGGCAGCAGCTTCAATTAGCATGGCTAATACAGCTACCCACTGCTGCTGCCAGAACTTGTTTTCATTGCCAAAAAGGTGTATTTTTACTATGGGATAATTAGCCTAAATTAACTATCCTTATTAAAATAAAGGCCTCCATCTCTTTTCTTACAGTGAAGACATTGCTTCTGTATTAAATCAGAGCATCCCCTTTTGCTGAGGCTAAGCTAACTGAGGAGGAATGAACCTTGCAATGAAAACAGCCCACGTGTCCTAGGCATCAAATAGACCCACAGACTGCAAGCAAAGTCCTTTTCTGAACTGATTCGTAGTGGGGTGGTAGCTTCCTTGCTCACTTTTCATTTGGCCAGCACAGAATGTATCAGCTTGCATCCTATCTACCAAACTAATGAGTTTGTCTCCTTTTTAATTTACCACGTCACCTCCAATAAATCCAAAAATGCTCTGGGCTGTTATCTGACTTGAAGGGGAACAATTACTGGACCGACTCCAGCAGCAAGCCTGGCCTAATTAAAACACAGTGTATTTCCCAAAAAGGTAGTGACCAATTTTATTCTGAGTGCAACCTAAAAGAGCTTTATAACAGAATGAAACAATTGAACTTTGCTTTACCCTGAAGATTTCATTACTTTTAAACTGAGTTCCCCTGATAAATCATGAAGAGCTGATTTCCTACACCCCCTTACCACTGAGCAGCTAGTGGTTAACTCTACCCAGTTTAACTGTTGTCTTCCAAACTAATTGCTAACACCTACCACCTGTTTCTTAAACCCTGGGATTAGGGTAACATAAAGCTTGCAGGCAGTCTCCCACACCTTATGTTCATTGCATTTGCTTGCACCTGCTGTAGAGTGCTTTCTGTCAAGCAGCAGCATCCTCTGGCTTGTGGGCCATGCTAGACTAAGGGCAGTAAAGCTGTAGCACCTCCTCTGTGTGGCAACAAAAATACCTCTGTGCTTCCCATCATCATCTAGGGTTGGCTGTTTTTTTTTTTGTTGTTGTGTTGGGGTTTTTTGTTTGTTGTTGTTTGTTTGGTTTTGTTTTGCTTTTTAAAGATTGGAACTGTTCTTTAAACAGTTTGGTCACTATGATTTTTATTAAGGGGGAAAAAAAAAAAAAGTACTGCTTCCTGTAGCACCTGTATTTTCTGTATACAGTGTTTCTCACTGGTGAGGAAAAATTGCTGATACGTTTTTTTATTCTTCATTTCCGATGAGCACAGAACAAATAAAGGTACAAATGTGAGACAGGAGTATGTACCCACCACCTTTCAGGGGTACTTTGACCAAGGGAGAGGTACACCAACCAAGGGAAGCAGCAAAGCTCTGGGGAAGGATGCTGTGGGCACAAACCAAGGCAAGGGACCCTCCCACTGTGGCCAAGTGGAGCTCTCCAAGAGTCTTTATCACTGGGAGCCAAGCAGGTGTTCCCAGGACTGGGGAACTGCTGAAAACCAGCATTCCCATCTTGCCCACCATGCCCATTAGCACCTGCAATTAGTTTCAGCTAGTCATAGTCTCAGAGAATGTTTTAATGAGGGTGGGAGTAAGAAGAGAAGTTTAAACACCTTTTTGTTTCCAGTACTACCCAAGTGTCTCACATAAGACTGGATGACTCAACAAGTGAGATATATAGCTTGACACCTCCAAGATTTTTATTTCATATCTGTCTCAAGATTGTAATGACTGTAGGATTTAATTTGATCAAAAATTAAACTGGATTCAGAAGTACTGTTATTAACTTATATTAATGTTATGAAGTTAACTCTCAAGTCTTTTCTATAGTTATGGCTTCTTGTTGACTTGCAAGGATTGGTACAGAAATTAATTGAAAGGCAAATTAAAATAAGAAATAATAACAGTAATTCAATTTTATTTTTGTTCATGGTAGCATTGCCAACTCTGAAAATACAGCTGGTCTCCTTTGTTCCAATACAAATCCTATCATGGGGAATTTACAAGGTGCACATGTGTTTCTCTCAGAGCACAGAAGATCCACAGAAGCTGTAGGTGAATAAACAGACATGTTGAGCCAAGGTGCAGAAGTGATTTTATGTGCCTAGAATGCAAAATTAATTTACAGGTTGGAGAGCCAACAGGTATGGGATTGGGAAGGCAGTAAATTTGAGTTTTGGGTACTAAAACATCAGTAAGTCAAAGGACAAGAGAGTAGACAAATCTCTGAACAGTTAAAGAAAAAAAAATACAAACAAAAATATCATCAGGAACCTTTGACCCTTCCAATAACATTGAGCATGACTCATGGTTTTGTGGATTTTGATGTGTGGTGGTACAAAAATTGTTCTATCTACTACTGACAGATGGTAGGTTTCTTGGTTTTAAAAATACGAAAACAGCTTGATCTCATGTACCTCAGTGTAAAAATAAAGCTCTTTTTATAGCATGTCTCGATTTTGACAGCCATACCATGCAGTAAATATTAGATTCCACATATGAGCACATTTTAAAAGCCTAAACCAGACTCTTCTTTTAGGGGTAGGCTGATTCTCTGAGTTGGTGGAGTCCTCAGAAAGAGGACTCACAGCTGAATGTAATGGCTCTTTAACTCTAAAATTTGAGCTGGTTGTGGGTGCAGCTTTGAATTTAAAAATGCATTTCCTTGTTTGGTAGCTTAAGTTTCATGTCAAAGAGGTGTAAAAAGTAAGTTATCCATCTTTTTGTGATGGTAAGCCTGGAATAAATCTGCAGGAGTAAAATGCAATTGAATCTATAAGTAAAATGATTTCTACTTTATATTGCAGAGCACAGATAACTCAAATATATCTATAATTGCTCAGAACAAAAAGTGCTTTGACAATGATATTGTTTGCTCAAAGAATGTTTTCATCACTGTTGGAGACACTGAGATTTATTTTAGTGAACCTTCTGAGAAGCAGGTTAGTTATTATCTTTCCTTTCTGTTTTGCCCTTTAAGATAAGCATTGTAAAGTTACAACTCTAAAGGAGCATGTTTTTGGAAAATGTGTCTCAGTCTGAGTTAACATAATACAAGTTCCCTGGCCTGGATGAAGCAGCAGGTCCCAGGAAAAGTCTTATTTTTTCATTGTTTTTTTCAAGTTCTATTTGTCCTACAAAGAAGACTGATCAAAAGCCTCAAGGAGCTGAAGCATATTGGGATTTATTTGTTTCTCTCCACTCAGTTTTGAAAGGGAAACAAAAGTACAAAATCAAAGCAAACTTGAATGATTGAAAAGACAAAATATCAAAGTATTAAACAACATTTCTAGTAATATTATTGATCCAGCTATATGCTAAAGTGTTCTTCAGTATACACTTTGTTATTAATTGGCTGTATACCTTGGTAGAATTACTTTATAAGATCTTAATAAATATTCATTTCTGTCAGAAGACCTTAAGAGGACAGAAAAACAAATCTAACTATCAGCTTTGGAAGGCTGGATATTATACTGTGATACACTTTCCAGAACAGGACATTACAATTCTGTGGGATAAGAAGACAATGATGCATGTTAAAGTTGGACCTCGATGGAAGGTGAGCCAAAATAAAAACTTGAGGTTTTGTGTAGCACTCTGTGTTGCTAATGTGATCTCTTATTCAATAACTGTGATTTTTTTTTTCTTCGTGACTAACTTTCCCAGTGATACAGCTGTTTATCATGGTGCTCAGCTCCTAGCATTTCCCAGGTAAGAAGAGATGGAGAATGTAATTTAATGGCTGGACTCCTGAAGAGAAGAGGTGGTTTCCACAAGCTTGTTTACCCTGTTGGAGGCTCCACACATTTCAACCCTTCAGATATGCAGTGATACAGCTCTGACTCAAATTTACTTTGAGGGTGGGAAGAGAGGGTTAGTTTTGAGTTACCCAGTTCACTGCATGTTTTCATAATTGCTGAAGCCAATGGAAAAGAAGCTTCCATATCTGGGGACTTGGAAGACAGCATGTTTGTAGCACAGATTGGATTAGGCTGGTGACAGAACTGCACCCTGAGATGTAGTAGAGGCTGCTGAGATGAACAGATGGGAGTCAAATCTTGGGTTTAAATTAAGAAGACAAGATACAGGAAAGGATCTAGACCAAAACTGTAATTTAAACTGATAAGTATACTGTGTCAGGGTTCAGCCATGATGCAGGGAAGAATATGAAGTTCCTTCTCTTGTCAGTTGCTCTTTTCTGTTCCATTCCTATATCATCACCTGTCTTGATGTCTCTGCAACTCAGTCTTTGGGTCCTGGCAGAGCCATGAACATGTATATTGAGAGGGAGCTCTTTTCAGTAAAAGAAAAGAAAGCACTCTATGCTAGAATACAATATCAGATTTTTTGAAGTGTAAGTCAAAGTTACAATGACCATCTAACCTGGTTTTAAAGCAACATTATTATAGGCTTTTGTCCCAATAGCCATAAAATGCTTGCTTCACATACAAGCTGATTTATCAGCCATCAATACATATAGTGAAAAAAAATTCTTCTGTTTTTGGATAAGCTAGCAGGGAGCTGAGTTCTACAGGTTGCATGCAGGGACACAAATAGTTCAAGCTCTTTCTGTTTCCAGTGGCTGTTTCTTCCAGAGTCTCTAGTTCAGTAAGATAATGTCTGCAGCAGACCTTAAGGAAAAAGAAGTCATTAGTGAGCCACCGCACCCTAGGAATCCAACTCTACATTTTACTGTTGTACAGAAATATCTTTTTCTCCATGTGTGTATATCTGTATGCATGTACATACACTTTTTCCATCAGGACCACATACCCCAACACAAGAAAGTTGCAGCTGTCTCTTTTGTAATTGCTGTTACAAATGTTCTTGCTATTGTGAGCTAAAATTAGAGGCAGCAAGTTTTAATGACAACAACTAGTCAGGCTTCACAATCATGAGGTAATTCACCTGAACTTTTGACTTTTGGACTGGGTGCACTACTAAGTTTTCAGGAAAAAATATGACTGAATTCCAGTCCCTTTTCACAGGCAGACAGTAAGAACAGGTTCTGGAAAACAGGAAGAAAAAAGGAAAACATAAATTTCTATTAAAAGTTATTTTCAATATGGAACTGTAAGCATAGCAGAGTGTCAGATATTTTCAAAGAATAAGTCAGCATTGCATTCACATTTTTCAGTTTAAGAATGTTTTATTCCACTTATGTCATTTATACTGATTATAGGCTGTCAGTATATGTTAAAAAAAAAATAAAAATCTGTCTTCTCTTTTAGGGTAAACTAGCGGGTTTGTGTGGAAATTTTGACAAATATACTTCAAATGATCTGACTACATCAAACAACATGGAGGTGAGAAATGCACAGGTGTTTGGAGACAGCTGGGTATTAGGACAGGTGAGTCCCATGTACAGTAAAAGTTTAGAAAAAAAGGATGACAATTTTAATTTATAAATGAACATGTTATAAGCACACAATGTACAGGGATTTTCTAAACTCATAGTCAGCATATAAGAGGACATTTTCATTTTTATGTCTGTAGATGCAAAATGTGTTAATAATGTTTTATGTCATAGAAAACATATACTGAATTCGAATGAAACCAAATAATCTCTTTAGGGAAGAATATATTTTTTCCTATATAAGATAATTATCATGTTTGGATTTCAGTTTTCTACGGAGTTGCATTCATTGCTTCTGATATTTTGGATTCAGCTGAACTTTAAAAACAATTGTAATTTCTCTGGTGTTGGAGGCATCAGGATATTGAAAATAAATAGCGTGTGAATGCTGGGGAAAAAAGATCTGGAAAAAGGTTTCTTTCTGAACACCGAAAAAAAAATGGTGATTTTTTTTTTTTTTTAGTTGCAGTTTATAAACAGAGAACAAACTAACAAAGTAGAGGTGGTGAAAGGGTGAGACAGAAAAAGCTCAGCACAGTAACAGTCATAACCCAGTATGAAAATTTAGTTTCTGAAGAGAAGGGAAGAGGCTGCAGAGAGTGGATGACCTCAACTCTGTTTTATAACACAGGAGAATAGGTATTTTATTAATTTGTGCTGAGAAGTTGTAAGGTTTTATAGCCCTGTGAACCCCCTGAAAAATCAGTATTTGTAAAACACTCCCTTAGGATGTTTGTGAGATCTGTTCTCTCCTTGACTCACAGCAGGAAATTGAACCAAAATCTCTCACCTCATGAAAGAATATTATACCTATTCTGCTTTGGAATAAAGATTTTGAGGCTTCGCTCCCTCAATATCTCCCTTTGGATCTCTACATAAAATGTTTAAATTGTGTGAGCAAGCAAGACAAAGGTGTAGTTTTGGTGGTTATACTGCTCATCTAGAAGGTGGTACATAAAGAAATGTGGAAATACTTTGTATGATGTGAGATTTTCTTTTCCAATTTATCAGTTCAGTTGGCTGCTTTAAAAAAGTGTGTAGTGTTTGCATAGGGCATTCACTTCTAGGATGTTCTGACCTTTATTTATGCAGACCAAACTCACACTTGCCTTTTTGTGGCCAGATATATATTTTTGAAAATCTCATATAATCTTCTGATCTCGGTGGCTGCCAGACCACTCAGGATCTGAGTTCAACATTGGCTTTCCAGGCAGCTTGCACTCAGCCAGCCTTGACGATTCATCTGCCCCCAGAGTAAGCGTTAGAGATTTTTTCAGAAATGACGTTTGGCCTTTGTAGAGACGTACCCCGGTGATCCTTTCTGCACAGTCTAAATGCTGTAAAGGAATATTGGATAGCTGGAGGTCTAGAACCCAACTCTGCCACGGGCAAATGTGCTTGCATTGGCACTGTGAAGTGTGGGATGCTTCCAGCACTTCTCCCTCACGGGAGTGGCAGCACACCCGCCCATGGCAGCGTAGGTGGGCGACTGCACTGCGGCTGAGGCTGCGCTGGGACACCCCACTGCTGCCTACGGATCCTTCATTACCCCTTGCTGGTCTTCCCTGCTGCACCAAGAGGGTATGGTTTTAGATGAACTTGTGGTTTTCAAGCTGAGTGTTGTTTTGTTATATTTTTCTGTTCGTTTGTTTTTCTTCTTGAAGAGAGAGTTTAAGAGAGGGAGTTGTAGATCAGCCATTTTTGAGTTATCACGATGATCTTTGACTCTTTTTTTTTTTTTTTTTTTTTTTTATGGGTTGCTCTCTTCCTACCGCTGCTTCTTTATTTGAACTTACAGGGCTAAAGCCATCTGTAGTGTGACTCCATTTAAAGTCAGTGCAAAACCACTAGGGATGGATTTGGACCATGTATTTGTTTGTGATGTTACAGTTGGTTGCTCTGGTAATGATTATAATGTGTCACAAAGAAAACATTTTGTCTTTATGTGCTGAGAAGACAGCAGGAACATTTTAGTACTTCAGAACAAAACACAAATTCTTTTTTTTGTGCGAATGTTTTCAATTATAACAACAAATCAAAGAAAGGGGAAGATGAAGAGGATAGCTTTTAAACTTCACTTTTGTTTTCTGAGTAGGCAGATATTGAATTATATGATACTATTGCGTACCTGAATCCATGGTAAACACACATTCATATAAAATGTTTGTGGTATTTTTGCTTGTTTTCAAGTGCAAGAGCCCAAATGAAACACTAAGACCATGTGAAGTACATCAGAGCAAGTTCCCTTATGCCAAAAAGGAATGCTCAATTTTATACAGTGATGTTTTTGCACCTTGTCGCAACGTGGTAAGTTTATTAAATATCCAGACTGTGTCCTCATGTAGGAAAATATTAAAATTCCAGTAATTAATTTCTTCTTGCCGTTTCCCTCAGCCTGAATGCCATGGAGGATACAGAGGAAAGCACTGCAAGTACCTCTATGTGGGTGGGCTATGTTTGTGCAGAGCTCCTTGTTCTTTTCAAGACTGGAGCCTAAACATAATAGTGATAACTGGGAGCCATGAGTTCGTAGACTGGATAATTGAGGTTCTGTTCTCTTTAGGTTTTATTTATATCTTTTATTTATATAGGTAGCTAAATTTTGAAGGCTTTTGTATATATTGCAGGATTCTAAAATAAGCATTTGTGTAATGTGCCTACAGCTTACCTCAAATGGTTTTATTTTCTTAACTGTTCTGCTCAATATAGAAACATATATGAGAGAGTGAGATTTCAGCTTCAGAGCTATCAGTATTTTTAATTGGCTGACAGCTTATCATCTGCTTTTTATCAAAATTCTGAGGTTTGGTGTCCTTGTTTTCACAATACCTGGCTGAGCCTGGGAATTGAGTTACAAGGGATGTCCTTAAGTTCAGTCTAGACAAGATGGGGACAATAGCTTATGTGGAAATCTTTTATTCCATTTTAGTCCACTCTTTATCAATGCAAGACATGCTCTATACGTTTTGCCCTATTTCTGATTTCAGCCTCACAAAGGTATTTAGTTATCGAAGGTGCTTCTTTACACCTGTGCAAGCAAGAACCACTACAACAATTCATCTCAGTCTCTTATTTTCTTTATGACTATTAATACTAAATGAGATCATTAGATTTCCCTGCTGAACCTCCTGACTTTCAGGACTGAAGTTTGATAGCAACATGGTTAGGAATTTGCCTGAGGAGGAGGTTGCAGTAGCTTAACCCGAGAGATTTATTAATGTTGACTTTAGTTACTATGTAAAGAATTTTGTGAGCATGTGCCTGAGAACATAGTGATGAGTGTATTTTCAAAGTGGAAAGTAATAAATAAAAATGGAACTTTTGAGAGTTTTTAAGGAGCTGTATTATTATAACTTGTAAAGAAAGATGTTTTCTCTTGAACATTCATTTTCTAGATCTTATCCATGTTGTGATCAAAATTTGTAAACATTATGCCAGAAATTTAGAATAATTATGTTAAAAAAATGCATGTCAGGTGCAAAACATGTTTATTTAGTACTCAAGTATTTTCACATGCACATAGCCACCTTGTATGGGACAGCCTGTGAAGCAAACATCTTTCAGGTGTTTTTACAACCTATTCATCATCATGTGAAAATGCAGCTCTTACAAATGTAATATAAAGTGACCTCTTAACAAGGGTATCTGCAGCTGACTGCTGGCTGTGCGGGTGGGGAACTGGGAGCCAAGGAAAAAAGCAAGTGGTTGGCACTGGGGGCACAGAAGGAACAGAAAGTGTAGATGTGGGTTTCAAGATGTGCTCGGAGCAGCGCTCTTACAGTGGCTCCTGCTGCGTGGGTGGTGGAGGATCCTGCTGCGCGTGGAGGCCAGCTCCTGCCTGTGGGACAGGCAGCCTCAGAGTTCAGCTGAGGCTGGAAAACCCTGTTTACAGGGAGACAAAATCTTGGATCTCTGGCTGGCAGCAACTGATGGGTTGCAGTTGCCCAGCTAAGTGCTGAACTCAGCGGGGGCCGAGGAACCTCAACACTTGAAGAAAAAAATGTCTTCCTCATGACTCCTGAATTCAGCAGGAGCTTTGACCCAAGGCTCCCACTTTGTTACAACAGCAGGATGTTGCTGGCCCATGGAGAGATGCTATGCAGCAGAAATGAGACAGGTTGAGCTCTTTGCAGCCAATCTGCTGTTTGGTGGTTCCTGTGAAGCTATTATAACCATTTTCAATGGAGCTAATGCTTGGGTGTCCCTGCCCCCCCCCCCCCCAGTGGTATCCCTGTTTGCAAAATAAGAAAAAGAATGAGAGCAAGATGGCATCTCTCTCCACTGAAGGCAGAAAAACAGTCTTCATAGCCCTGCCAGCTTCTAGCAACTGCCAGCTGAGAAGCTGTCTCCATGTTAGATAAGTGCTGCTTTGTTATTGTAATGGTATTTCTGTAATCTGACATGTGCCATTTGAGTGCTCTACAACTGAGTTAGACCAGAGCCTAAACTGAAGAAAAGCATTCCTTTAAACATTCCATGTGTTTAAAGGAAGGAACCACTGTTTTGGAAATGCTGCTCAACATTACAAAAAAGTTGATTAAAACTCAAGAAATATTGTATCATGTAAAACCACAAAATAATGTGATAGGATTTTAGAATCATGATGTGGGTTTCTGATCTAATGAAGGTTTGTGGGCAAAGTATATCAAAAGCTTGATAAGTGCAGAAATATTTGTCTGCAAAATGTCACCAGCGTGTTCAAGCTTTCTTTCTCTGACCAAAACCCCCTCTACAAATTATTACTTTAATTACTTGATAATCAGAGTTGCAGCTCCTACTTTGTTGTTGTTCATGGAAAACTGACAGGATGACTATAGATGGCAGTATTTGCTTTAAAAACCAGAACTGCCAGCCTCAATATACTCTCCAAAATCAATGAACAGTGAGTGTATGGACAGAGATACTTGTTAATAGTCACTGATTGAAATTTTCTCTTGGCCTGTAACATAGGTGCAAGCTGATCATTCAAAAACTAATTTTGTATCGGAATGTACCCAAACCTAGGAAAATACCTTATTTTTGTGTTAAATTCTCCCAGTCAATCCAGAGGTAGCACTCCTGCTGAAAAAGGTGCAACAGGAATTTGTACAGCTTATTCAGTTAAGTCACCAGCCCTCTTTTTATTTTGTTTTTCCCCCCAGATTGATGTGACTTCTTTTGTCAAAAATTGCCACACAGATACGTGCAACTGCAATCTTGGTGGAGACTGTGAGTGCTTGTGTACCAGTATTGCAGCTTATGCCCACAAGTGCTGCCAGCAAGGAACAGCGATTCACTGGCGATCTCCTTCACTCTGTGGTATGTACCTGTGCTGACCTCAAACTGGAGCTAATCTGTGAGGCATTTTTGGCCTTTAGCTGCCCAATATAATACAAGTATGACAGAAGCATCTAGATAATAAATGTACTGCTACACATTTTTCAAGCTGTCTGTGTGCAAGCTGGTTTGTTTTATATACCCAAATTTGCTGATTTACTGAAGAGGGCTGGCTGTGCTCAGGGTGTGCCAGCTGAGAGACTGCTGGAGAGGCACCGGTGTACCAGCTCTGGGGGTCATCGTTCTCTGTAAGGCTGCAATGAGACTCAGTCTGTTCTACTTTTCACTGACAGCAGCAATGGTTCGTGGCTGTAGAATAATTCATGCTTCAGGTCTGCTGTCCTGGCATATCTATTTAAAGACAGCTGTATGTCACTGAATAAAAGCCTAGGGAAACAAAGTCACTGACTGAAACACATTATGGGAAATGAAACTTCCTCTGATGAAGAGGAATTTTACATTTTTAGGATGCAGATATGCATAGATCCTGTTGTTACTTTGTAATAATAATATGCTTGTTTTCTTTTTCTTTTAGCTTATGACTGTGAATATTACAATCAAGGTATGTAGCATTTGATATTACTGTCTTTGATACATCCTCATATTTTATATTTATATACGTTGCTGAATACACTTACTCTTCATGTTTTCTAGCTTACCAGCTAGGTATGTACTAGAAACAAATCTGTACTCCCTGGTTCCAAAATGGAATCCATTTTTATAAAGCATTTAGTTGCAGATAGTTCCCCACATGGACCACTCTAGAATATGGAAGGTGTCTTTGATATATTATTCTATCATCTTTCTTTCTGCATGAGGCTATTTTGAGATATTTATCTCTCCTCTCCTCATTTATTTTATTTGTCTTTAAAAAAGAAATACCCAAGAGACACTTTTCTTATATCAGTTCACTCAGACTAACCCTGGAAGAAAATTAAGAAAATATAGTTTGGTGTTTGGTAATTTCTCTCTTTCACAGGTTAGAATGATTTTTTTTTTTTTTTTTTTTTTTTTTTTTTTTTTTTTTGTTGGTACTCCTGATTTAGGTATGTGAGTTTAATGAGCTCAGCAAGTTAGTAAAGCAAGTCCCCATGGGCTTTTCTGCTCTATGTCCAGGGACAGCAGTGGCACGGAAGCAGACATCATATTTGTAAGCAAAACAACACATGTGGCATCTCAGATGAAACATGGTACAGTGCACACTGCAAATAAAACCCTTTGTAGCTTGTGCTGAGAAGAATCTCTGTCAGTCGCAGCGGTGCTGGAGGTTATCTCTTTTCCATTCTCCTTGTTCCCTAGGGTAGGATAGCATAGTCACAATCCCTCGAGGTCACTGGACCTTCAGATCCATTAGAAAGGAGAGGTGACTTGTATGAGCAGCCTGGATTATTGTATGTAATTTTGTGACATATTCTTTGTCTATTTAATGTCATTATACTGACTTTTTCTTCCCTCCTGTTCTGCGTTGGAGATCTAAAATACTGTTTTTCTGTGCAATTTCTCACGTATTACTTGAGATTTATCCTACATAAACACAGACAATCCTGTTAGTAAGGAATTCAAATACTGACACATTAGTGTGCAACTTAGAAGGTTATACATGGTTATTATCATTTGCATTTCATCTCACTGAATTAATTGCCTTTGGCACAGGGAAATTCAAGTGCTTTTCTCCAAAAATGAATGGTGTGGATATAATGCATCTCTGATGATACCAATTTAAGATTAATCAGAGTAATAATTTATTTGGTATGATTTTTGGAAAAAAATAAAAAAGCCTCATAAATTTTATGAACATTTGTCACACTATGCAATTATCTTTAGGTTTTCATTCTGAAGTGTCTTGCTTTATTTTATTTTTCCTTCTTTCATTGACATATGAAAGAGATTTCTCTGGTTCAAATAACTCAATTTAATTAATTGATGGGCTTTTTCTTTGACTTGGTATATGTAGTTTTAACATTGCTTCTATTTTTAATGGGTGAGGGTAAGTGGTCCAGCTGTGTTGAATGATTTTAGTAATCCCCAATGTCTCAATTAATAACCTCATCATATTCAGCGTGGGGGTGGATTAATGCACTGTGCAGCATATCTTGGCAGTCAGGGAGAAGCTCTAAAAGGATGTTGGCTTGTGCTTGTACTGTAAATTTCAGATCTGGGACCTATTATATTTTGAAATTGATAGGTTACGGGATTTTATGCACAGGTCTCACAAGTACTGTACTGTAAAGGACAGTTCCTTAGAATGAGAGCAGGATTCATTTAACAAACTTAATTACCGTGGTGTCCCCTCTTATATTTGGATACTGTGCATGTGCTTTGTGGGGAGCAAGGTATGGAAAAGGAAGGGGAACTTGACTAAATGCAATGATATGAATGTGACTTTTGATATATCCTTTGCAGAGACTTGCATCCTATAATGGGCATCATATAGTAGATGTTTTTTTTCTCCTTCAAGGAGTCTGGCCCAGTACATTAGCAGCATGTAGATCTTGCTTGGCATAGCTGACTTTCCATAATGTCTCTGCAATAGGGAATTTTGTCTTATTTAAAAAGTAGTAAGGTGTACTGGTTTTGGCTCAGATGGAGTTAATTTTCTTCATATAGTTAGTATGGTAACATTTTTTGGATTTGTGATGAAAACAGTGTTGATAACACACCCATGTTTTAGCTGCTACTTACACAGCATCAAGGCCTTTCCTGGTTCTTACGCTGTCCTACCAGTGAGCAGGCTGGGGGTGCACAAGGTGTTGGGAGGGGACACAGCTGGGATAGCTGATCCCAACTGACCAAAGGGATACTGCAGAACATGTGATGTTGTGAAATTTGCCGGGGCTGGCATTGCTCGGGGTACAGGTGGGTATCGGTCAGCTGGTGGTGAGCAATTGGGGTTTTTTGCATCACGTTTCTTGGGTTTGTTTTCCTTTGTTTTGTTTGTTTGGTTGTTGTTGTTTTTGTTTGTTTGTTTTGTTTTGTTGTTTGTTTGTTTGTTTGTTTTTCCAAACTATCTTCATCTCAACCTGTGAGTTTTTTCAGTTCTTCCATTTTGATTCTCTTGCTGGAGAAGTGAGTGGCTCTGTGGTGCTTAGCTCCTTACCAAAGTCAAGGATGGCGTTATGCACGTTTTCACCACCAAGTGCCAGCAGAACACCCTTTGGGGCTAGGGTTGCTCTGATTCTTTTTTTGTTCTGTATGATGTCAAACTACTGAATCTTTATGGAAACTTTATAAACTACAGTTCATTCCTGATTTTGCTCAAGTCATAAGCAAAATGTCTGTTAATATGTAGGGATGAACATTCAATGATTTAGAATAAAGTGTCTTTTTAAGGTAGATTGTCTTGCCATTTCTTTACAAGTGGTCATTGTGTCGCAAGCTTGTGGGCTTCACATGCATAGGAACTTCAGCATAGTTTCCATATAAAAACAGTAGTTATTCTCACGTAGTTTTCTTCAGAAAACGCTGTTTAACCTTTAGCTGAGACAAATCTCATTATTATAAGAATTCCTTCCCTCTTGGAAGAGTCATATTTGAAAGGAACTGTCTTAGGCTGGTAAGAGGTTCAGTCTTTTCCCTGTAAGGATTAAAAGCTTTCACAAAACTTACACATTTTGTTTATTATTCACAAGGTGAGGTTTAGAAGTATGCTGCTCTTGGTTCTTTTGGTGGGATAGTGACAAAATCAGATGCTGTTGTATCTGGATGTATTCCTGTGAGTCTTTGCAGCCCAGCAGAAGCAGCTCCAGGGGGTTTGCTGTGGGGCATGGTTAGGCCAGTGCCGTTTTGGCAGTGGCACCAGCTGAAGCTGTTGTAACTGTTATATTGGCATGAGCTTCTGAATGACAATGTGAAAATTAGCTAGTTATTTTTCACCTGACCATTTTACTGCTAAAGCACTTAGGATGGCCTAATAAATAGGGCAGTAGCAGGGAGAAGTGGTTTGTGGGAGAGGATGAACTAGACAACTGCTTAATCAATACTGCTGTCAAAAATTGAATTACAGCCTTGTAATTTGAAATCTGTTTGGGTGTGGTTTTTTTTTGTTTTTTTTTTTTTTTTGGTTTTTTTTTAGGGGGAATTCCTTTGTCAATGTTACAGTACCATCAGTGTCTATTTGGGGAATAATATTAAAGTTGCTCTGTTGATCTTTCAAATTATAGAAATAAGGACATGTAAAAGACTAAATAACATAAAAAAGCAGCCCAGATTGCTTTCTTGAGAGGTCATCTTGTGAGGATAGCTACCCACACTTTTTTGTTCCCACTTTGTATCTGCTCTACCCTGGGCAGCAAGCAAAGAATAAGGGATAACATTGAACAGATAGATACAGACCTACTCCAGCATAATACCTTGAGGTATTGATCTGCAGTTCCAAATTTATTTGATTCCAGGTATGGTGAAATATTTAAGGCAATATATTATTTCAACTGAGACTTAAGCTTTGTGTGTTATACAAGGAGAATTTTTCTTTTTCTATTTGATTTTTTTCCCTTAGGTCTTGGTGAAGGACCCTATATTTTGGCAAGTTACAGAGAGAATGGCACAATTATAGGAGCTAACGTATCCAGTAGAAGGATATTTCCCCTGCCTAGAACCAGAGCATATGGAAATGTAATTTTCAGTTTCATGATAACGCCAGGTCTTTTCAAAGATAAAGATTTATGTAAGTGTTCTCAACAATTTTGCTAATGGCAATATATATTTTTCAAACTGTATAAATGATCTTTGCCGCATCTTCTAAATCTCCTAAAATAGTTTAGATATTTTTAGTTATTGCAATAAGTGATGATAAAGTGGCCAATTTGAAAACCGAGGAGGAATACTGATATTTTTTTTTTTTTATAATATTGGAAAACCTTCAGTTAGCTTTAAAGCTGACTTTTCAAAGACTGTTTTAGAAATATTATAAAATATAAATGAATAGAATTACTTTGTGAAAAAAAAAAATATTAGTTTGACTAACTGGAAACTGGAGAATTTTGCACACGTATCAACACTGAAGCTGAATGCAGGATACTTTTGTCTCCACCAAAATCACTTCTACTTTATTTTTTCTTCTTTTTTGTGACTTTCAGTGGACTGTAAAATGTGCAACTTAAAACAACTGATCTGTCTCCTACATTGTTAGTGAGCAGCACCTCCATACACTGTAGAAGGAAGTTTCTTAGGCGAACATCTATTCCTAAGCTCTATTTTTCACTTATCAGAGACCGACCCAAACTCTTCAACCATAAATAAATATATTTAAATATTTTTTCCTTCTGTATATTTTTTACTTTTGTTTTTTCACATGCATTGGGTTTCTGCCGATTAGGTCGACACAGACATTGCCATTGCTTTCTCACAGAGTTTAATTTATTAAAAAAAAAATCCCAACCCCCCAAAAATCAACACAGAGAAGGGCTGTCTTCACAGTAAAATTTGAAACTATATTCACAAACAGTTGACAATTTTGCAGTGGAGAAACTAGATTTTTAGATATGATTTTGAAATAATAAAGTACACAGAGTGAAAGAATTAATTCAGTCTTGTCAATTCTCCAACTGATGTAAAGTGGGACTAAAACATTCATTATATCTGTGCAGTATACAGGTAGTTTTCATATATCTGAGGAATGAGAGAATTAATTCACCTAGATTAAAGACATTTCAAGATTTTGTTCAAGTTGAAACCCAAGTATGAAGTCAGTTATCTAAGAATGTAGTTTTGATCTAACTGATTAGTTCCTCTGGATTATGTGATCATTTGAAGCCTTCTTTAGACCCTGTATTATTTTTTTGAGTGTGTTACATAAAACGGAAGTATTTTTTTTTATAAAAGGCAGCTGTTTAAATGGAGCCACTTAACAGCCATTATCTAGAGTTTAATCTCACTTTTAAGTTGTTTTCTGTGAAAATCTTACTTTTTTTTTTTTTTTTTTTCCCTTCTGTGGAAGCTCTCTCTCTTGTTTCTCTTGAATCTGCTGAAAGACCAAACTACTTTCTGTACGTACACAACAATGAAACCATTGGGTTGGAACAGTGGCAGACAAGTGCCTCCTTTCGAAGACGAGCTACCTTCTTCCACCACCAGGGCCTCTGGAGTCCAGGGCTCAGTGCCTTTGAATTGCACAGTAAAAAAGGATTTTTCATCATTCTCACATCATCTGGTGTTAAAGTGGCAAAGTACGATGATTCAGAAGAATTCAAGCGTTTGAGTAGCTTTAGTATTGAAGGTAAATTCTGCATAATCCCCAGGAATAAGTATGGCTTCTTCTGCTTGCCTTTAGAACACTTTTTTCAGCAATAGTAACAAATACTTTTTAACTTATTTTTGATTACTACTCTTTTTCTTCCATGCCACCTTCAAATGTTATTATTTTCTAGCTTTTGCAGATATGACGTTCACTTTATCTTTGAACTATATTTTCATTGTTTTCACTCTTTCAAAACGAATGTGGCATGTCAAATAAAGTTGCATGTTAATGTCTTGTTAGTGAGCTATAGATATCTATTCTTTTTTAATGAATGAGTAAACTGTATTGCTTCTGCAACCAACAGTTCCTTCACTATGTTTAACTGATTTTTAAGGTTTTTAAACAGAATATATTGTAAAAGTGAGTAGCTGTTTGTATCTTTGAAGCTTCAGTGTCTTTTAGCTTGACTGAATTTAAAGCACTTGAAACTGAAAATGAACAAAATCGCACCTATTTGAAAGTTCTCAAGAATTTCTCTACTTGGTTTTCATTTTTAATTTTTTCTGAAAATCCCAATATACATTATAGAAAAGACTATACACTTATAGTTTATTGACTAAACAATCAATAAATAACACCTCTTGCTTCTTTCTCAGAACTCGATGCATCTGTGCCTTACAGAAGGATGTGTGAATGGCGATATGAATCTTGTGCTAATCCTTGTGTTAAAACATGTAGCGACCCTGAAGGAACAGCATGTAAATTCCTTCCTCCGTAAGTAAAATTAAGTTTGTATTGTTACTATACTTTTTTTTTTTTTGTACTATGTGTACCGTATGCTTTCTGAAAATTAGTGCAGCTGCAATATCCATTCATTTTCACTCATCCAGATTTCAATACCACTCTTGTGAGCAGCTCTCACAAGTTGTGCGAAAACATTTGTAAAAAGCCTCTCGTTTCCCATGGTATACATTCCTGTTTACATGAGACGTTTCAACACAAGAATAAGAGCATTTGCATTTAGCCCAGGGGATTAGCTTCTGGTAGTGAAGCATAAATCTATTAAATTAAATGAAGGCTATTCCCTTCTATGGATTTCTATTCACATCCTAAAGCCATGATTCTGTAAATGATTACAACTTTCTGGTGTTTATATGACAGAGATCAAAAACTGTACAAATAGTAAGGGTGGACTACGCCCTCTCCTGTAAAAGAATGGAACTTTATACTGAGAGAGGCTCATTGGCATGATGTGAGGTATTTCACACGCCTGAAGTTATCTTGTTCCTTAGTAACAAGATTTCCTGTCTCCACGGATCTCTCCTGACAACTATAGAATCATAACCAGTTAAAACGGAAAATGACTGAAAATTCAAAGCACAAAATCTGGTGGAAAAGAAATGATATTTTGAATTTCAGACTACCTCCCTAGGCATATGCAGTTTATGATTAGGACTATTACTTAATTTCTCTGTTGGTATTCTTAGCTTTTTCCATAGGGGCACACTGGTTGTTAATGTCATTATTTTCTTATTTAAACCCCCCCAAAATAAGAAAAATAAGGGAACATATAGACTTGTCTGCACTCTCCTATGCTGAAAGTGCACAAGAATGATACTTTCTATGGAGTCAGTCTAAATATTTTAATGACTCAGATGAACACATCTGGGTAAAACAGCAGTCTTGTAGATAAGTTCTTTGCCCTATGGAAAACCTTTCTGCTTAGTGATCTGAGCTGCCATCTGGTTGTGGAAGCAGAATGGTCCAAAGCTATCATATTCATCAGCCTATGCAAATAATTGATTATTAACAATCTGGAAACAAAATTGTGCTGTTCAATGTCTTTTTGACCTTAAAATGCCTCAAAATGTTGTGTTCGCCATTACACTGGAAAGTTCTCAGTATTCTGATGGAGAAGACGTCCAAATGTTTCATTTGCCAAAGTAAAATAATTTAAAATTAATTTATGTTTCTACTGTTGCTTTAGAATTAACTATACAATATCTTAAAGGGTTGAAGGATGCTTGCCATACTGTCCCAAAAACATGATCCTTGATGAGGTCACACTTAAATGTGTTTATCCAGAAGACTGTAAGTATATTTTCTTATATTGGTCTAATCTTATAAATCACTGTAGAGAACCCAGGAAAGGTTTTAATCAAAAGTACGTTGTTGTTTTTTTATTAAATGCTTCACCAGAACATCCTTCTGTTGAAGAATGTCTCACTGGGACATATACTCCATTCCCAGTCATCCAAAAGTACATCTCCCACATCCAAGCAAGCTGTATCTAAAGTTGAATTCTTTAATTTCTCTACTAGTGTGTTAAATTCAACCTTTTGTGATGGTGTTACACTCATCAGAACTATATTTGATTATATACTGGTAGTATGTATATATGTATGTATGTATGTAGAAGATTCCAAATGGGAGAAATACTGCTGTGGTGAAAAGGTCAGAGTTTTCAGTTGATGAGCCACCACTAACAAATTCACTGCATCTATTTCATAACTTCTGATGTGTGAAGATACTACATTATTTGCTTATTTTGCGGATACGGTATTCTTTTAACATAACAATTACATTTTAATACTGTCTCTTATTTTACTTGAGAAGTTTTGAATTAAATACATTATGCTTGTATTTGCTAGTACAAAGTCATCTCATATAGTATAATACTTTCCAAATATTTAATATATTTATTCCAAATATTTTAATATTTTGGATTTACTGAATTTTCTATGGAATGCCCTTGTTGCTTCAAAACTGCTCTGCAAAATCAGTGTTTTCACTAACAATAAAAAATTATCTACTTAATTTGCAAAGAAAATCAGAAAACTTTTTGAGTCAGCTAAGTTCCTCAGTCATCAGGCAACCTGGAACCATTGGCAAATTATCATCTCAGTGAAATGATGCTCTGACTTGTTAATATTTAAATGGGACTAGAGTAGAGACAGATGTTGCTATTTTGCTTTACCAATTTTCCATAAAAGACAGTGAAACATGCTTTTTTTTTTTTTTTTTTTTTTTTTTCTTGTAGGCATACCTGTGACACCTGCAGAATCAGCAATTGGAACAAAACCTTCATTGTTACTCTCTCACATGGATGCTACCACAGAGAGATTTCCTCAGACACCTCCTTTATATATTACTCCAGGGACTGAGTCAACTCATACCGGTGTGACAGCCAAAATAACTGTGAAGGCAAAAACAACTTTAAGGGGAATGAATATGTCAGCTCAGTCCATTACAGACTTTTATTCATTGGAAGCATCTAATGCAGCCACCTATTCAACATATTCATTACCAAGCACAGTGGAGCCTTCTGCTGTACTTCACAGCACAGCCAGCCCTACTGTCCTTTCTAAACTCATCTCTTCAACAAATTTTCCAACTGCTCTTCAAGCCTCAGCAGTCACATCACATACTGTCAGTTCTACTGCATCTATAACTTTACCCATTACAATAGCAACTCCAACAACCCTGCTCAGTGCAAGTCCTATTCCAGCACGTTCTGCGTTACTAACACCCACCTCCCTAGTGGTAGTTCCATTTCCACTTGAAACATCAACCACTCAGCTAGAAACTGTTCCTCTTACCTCAGCATTAACAACTTTAACCTCCAAGCCATCTTTTGTCACTTCTGAGCTGCCTGCAGGGATTGGGAAGAGTAGGAGTCCTTCAGTAAGTCATTCTAAAGGAGCAGCAGTATCCTCTGAAGTGTCTTTGTCTGCTTTGATGGCTGGCAGAGCAACTTTCACAAGACCTGTATTGCTTCTAGGTTCACAGTTGACACTAAGCACATCTACTTCTCCGATACCTACTTTGCCTGTTAGAACTAGGTCTGGCATTGGTCAAACTGAAGTTCACCCAACACCTGTTTCTGCACTGATTTCAACTGCTCCTCAAATTCCTATGACTACTAGATTTGGTAGCTTTGAGACAAGTTTTCCTCAATTAATCACAGTTTCATATTTTAAAACAGCAAAATCCTTGTCTAAAACTTCCCTCATATCATTAAATGCAAGTTCTTTAGCTAGTTTTTCTTCAAAGCCATTTTTATCTTCAGTGGAATCTTCGGTGACTGGTCCTAAGCAGACATCTCCATTAATAAAAGGCAGTATTTCTACTGCTCTGCCCACAACGACCATATCTTCACCTCAAGTTGCTTCTCAAATCCCTACAAACACTTCTTCAAGTCCTTCTGTAACACACACAGTATCTATACCAGTGCATTCTCTGATTACTTCCCTGAAGCCCAAAGCTATGGCAGATGGCACTGTTGCCTCCAAAAGTCTTTATAAAGTAGCCTCCGATGCTCCCACTCTTCCAGTCAATCCAACAATCTCTCATATGTCTATAGCAAGTAAAGCCTCAAAAGAAAATAAATACATGATGCACGCTGATTCCTTTTCAGTGTCAGCCATTTCTAAAAAGCCAATGAAATCCATTATGTCTACAGTCTTCCCTCTTAGGACACTGGTGTTACCTCCAAATGCTACATTAACAACCACTTCAGAAATTACAGAGTACCCAAGCAGTTCACATACAGAATTGAAAACTGACACTGTGGCACAAAGTTCAGGCGCTTTTATTCCTAAAGACCACTCTCTTACAAGGTCATCATCTTTATTTACAATCTTGTTATCAACATCAGTACCATCTTATATAACATCTCATACTACAAGTTCTTCATTGACTCCCATAGTCAGTAGGACATCAGCATTAACACAAAATATAACTGCTACCCAAACATCAGTTTCATCTCTAGATCTAGATACACAAGGAACCTCAAAAAGTCCAGTTACAGACTTCCCAACTTCTGTAGATTTTTCTACATTCACTTTAAACATAAGCCCTTCTACCAGCCTTTCAGCAGCGCTAAAAACGTCCACTGTAATGCCCTCTTTACTAATGCCTACAACTCCTGAAGCCACTTTAGAAAGCAAGTCCAGTAGGGTCTCTATGTCTTCACCTCCTCCTAAGACCACTCGTATCTCTACTGTTTCTCTAGGAAAACAGAGTTCTTCAGTAAGTTCTTCAGAAGAAGATGGAACAATATCAGCCACATCAGCTGGAATCATCACTCAATCCACTACACCAATGATTGAGAACACAACAGTGAACACTACATCCTTAAAAGCACCTTATATTTTTGCAAAACTACCACCTAGCTCTTCAGCCAGTTTATTAGTTGCTTCTGGCACTACTGTAGCCTCTAGGATTACTACAAAAACTACTGATTCTTTTTTTGCCAATTTGGAGCTTTATATGGCTTCAGCTTCAGTTCCTACCACCACAGAAACACCCATGCATGTATCACACAAATCTTTATTTACATCTGCAGCAACTCAAGCTTCACAGAGCACTAAAGAAACTCCAAAAATTATGATCACAAAAACAACTGGTACTACAAGTCCATTATCACAGACAAAGAGTACCTCATTTACAGCTTCAGAAGTTAAATACTTGACCTCATTTGGAAGAACTGTGGGTATTTTAGAAAGTGGTCAGACTTCATACGAGCAAAGAAATGTTACCAAGATACAGTCAACCACAACTGAGAAATCTTCTCCATCTTACCTGACAGTATCTGCAGTTCACAGTTCACCTTTTTCAAGAAATACTACCTCAGTAAAAAATGTCTCTCTTTCTGGGGTCCCAGATATAACAATATCAGATTGGTCCAAAATCCCAACACAGAAAACCATTAAACCCTATTTCAGTTTAACAGAGTCCACAGAGCTGCAGACCAGAACTATAATAGAATTATCTCATTCTAGTGGTGGAATGGCTCTGCCTTCCTCTTCAGAGCCTGTGGAAACACAAACTTTTCTGGCAAGCACAGAAACAATGACAGCTATAGCTGACAAGGCTTCCTTTGGTACAATGATGCATACGCTGATATCTACATCTTCTGAATGTGTGGTATGATCAGTTTTACTTGTCCCTATGTGTTAAAATATATATTGTTTTTCAAACCATTCTGTTATGATATGTATCTTTACAGAGACTTTAAATATCTCCTATTTTTGTTTTTATTAGTGTATCTTAAAATAATCAGTTCTTCTCAGAGGATTGTTGTACCACTGCTCTTATGCTACCCTGGTATATTCTGCAACTTGGATGTATTGCTCTGGGGAAAAAAAATTGCTTTTAAAGCTATGTGCTGATTCTAGATAGTGAAATATGTATCTGAGGTGCAGAAAAGCCTTAATCCATGGAATTTTTGCACTTCTGCATAATCTCACCCTGTCTTTCTTTCTTCTGTTTGTTTCTTTGTCATAGGGTTTAAAATGATGGAAAAGCATGATTCTGTGTTTCTTAAAATGTTTCTGATTATTACTGGGTATAAGGTGTAGCCTTAACACATAATGCTTCACATAGAGTGTTCCACCATAGGTAGATGGAACAGGATGGATGTGGGTGAATGGACGTGCACCATTGTCACCTCTTACAACCACAGAAAAGCAATTAATTCCAAAATAACTGATGAGGGGTCACGCAGATATGCTGATTCTATCTCAGAGCAGAATGAACAAGTGATCACATCGGGGCAATGAATGTGAAATTGATTCTGGTTGTTTTTTCATTATATGACAGCCAAGATACCTTGAACCTATCGACAAATGTAGCCAGTATGTATGTCTTAATATGGGTTGGATGTTATACAACCTTTCAAGGAACTGCCCTAAGGATGTGCAGAAGCCAGACTGTGGTTTTCAAGGAATGCCAGTTCAAGTTAACACTGATAGTTGTTGCCCAGAATGGGAATGTCCATGTAAGTCACTGTTTTATTTTTAAATACAACATAGAGCCTTGATCTGTAAATTTCAAGTAATAAATTAAGGGTTTATTACAGTGGGAATATGAAGTTGAATATGGTAATAAATTTAAAACAGCTGTTCATCAGCAAACCAGAATGAAATATACTGAATGTTTTGGTATCTTTGAATTAACAGTCAAGAAAGTAAAATATTTTGTTTTGAAAGAAAACATGAAAATGAAATCTGCAACATCAACATTTTCCAGCTGAGATTTTTCATAATTTCTATCAGTAGAAATGTTGAGATTTCAATATTTTGTGAAGAAAACAAATTGAACATTGGCATTTTCTGAAAGACAGAACACCCAAATTTCAGTTAGCTCTAATTGCAATTTTTCCTCATACTTAGGAACTGAATAAACTGGCAGATAACTGTCTGTCAAGTGAACAAAAAGGCCAAAGAGAAGTCATATTAAAAACCTTGGATTGTTACTGAAACCAGTATTGTACTTCAAATATTTGTCTCAAGATAGGACAGACCAGTCTTTTTTTATCAGTATCTCAGAAGTATAAATATTTTAATGCATATATTTTATCTCACAATGTACAGATTCACTAACCTTGCCTGCAAAACATTGACTTAAGTGAAAATTTTCACCAATTTAAACTTTCTCCCGTACTCTGGGCACATGGCAGTAGGTTATGGTATTTCCACTGAGCAATGCAAGATACTTGCTTCTGCTTATGTCTCAGTATCATGTCCGCAGAACAAGGTTATCAATATGTATATAATCATATACATGTAAGCAAATATTGCTAAAACCTGAAGTTTTTAGAAATGCCCTGTACTTGGTTTTGTGGTAACCTCATTAAATGACAGTTCTTTTTTAGGTCAATGCTCTGTACTATCCGAACTGAGTGTTATTACATTTGATGGAAACAACATAGCCCTCTGTAATATGGCTTCCTACATTTTAGTCAAGCTACCAGGAGAAATTATTATTGCTCATATTGAAAAATGTCCTGCTAATCAGGTAAGATTCTTGTATTTCCACAATAATTGTCATAGTTTCTTGAATTTTTGTGTTATGGGTATGAACTTCTGCAAAAATGTATCACTTAAAAGTTTCAGATAAAAGCCATACCAAAAAATGGAAAGTTGTTTACTTTTCAAGGAGCATGCTTAATCATGTTGTCTAGAAAAAAGAAGTTTATCTCAGGTTAAATAGCAATTGTTGTAATATGTTATAAGGAAATTCAAATGTTGGTTCCTATGTCTGTACATACATTTTCTTTGCATCATCCATAGCCCTAATTTATGCAGCCCTTGAACAAATGGTTTGTATTTCCATCTTTGGTTTGTGGGTAAACAAGTTTCTGATAAGGAACTTCAGCAGGCTTCTTTCCTTCCCATCCTTATTTGGTCTCTCATCTACTCTCACTGGGCAACTGTACACTTACTTTTTAAGTGCCGAGTTTTACGCTGGTTTAGAAGTTTTCTTTTAAATTGCTCTCCTCACTGTTTCTTGGTTGCAGTCTAAAGGTACAAATACAGTCCACACAGGCAGATGAGCTGTAGAAGTCTGTAGTTGTAGTTAAGAAATATTTTTTGAAAGGGCTTTGCAGGATACGCTGAATCTTATGATATTGGTAATGAGTTGCTCTCAGTGTTAAAGCTGTTTAGTTAAAAGCCAGCTGAGATACGGTATATACAAGCTTCAATCTTGTGCAGAAGGATGTCTTGGTAAAATAGCAGTTTTAGCAAAGTTAGGACAATGAATTTTATTGGCATGACCATTTTACTTCTATGTATTTTTAATTCAACTTCTTCAGGTTATTGTGTTATCTTTTCTGTATTATTTTCCATAAAACCCTCTTCAATTAAATCTTTAACAAGTAAATAAATTTTCTAAAAATAGTTCATAGAAAAGTGCACTACGTTAGCTGGTAAATGTATGTTTTTAATTATTTATAACAAATATATTAAATTAATTTAATTATGAAGCTGATTGATGTAGAACTTCAAAGACAACTTATTTTTGCCAAATAAGAATGCTGCTGATTATCACTGCACTTCTAATCGGTTTTTAATGTTTTCCAGAGTGCAAATTCAATAAGAGAACTAGTGAGTACTTTCTGCTTTTACTAATTATAAAATGCATTAATATTACACATATTGAAAAAAATCCCTATAGCACTGGTACAGAATTAGAAAAACAATAGTAACTAAACTTGTTTGTCACTTTTCTTTAAAGGTTCCCCCTGCAAGCACTTCAGGGCTCTGTTTTAAGAAATTAAATGTAACAACACGCACAAATAAATTACTTATTAATCGTTTAGCAAGAAAAGTAAGTATATAACACCAGTATATAGCATGTGTACGCTTAAAAGATGGTTGGAGAGCTATTCTGTTGTAGAATGCAATAGATCAGATTTATAATGAATGTACTACAGGATTGGGATTACTTTTGCAGTTCAAAAAATATACTTTTCTGATACCATGCTTCACTTACATGTCATTTATCCAAAATTACACTTTAAAGATCTTTTGAGATTTTTAAAGAAGCTGCAAAAGCATTTATACTGTTTCTAGAAAACCTAGAACCAAACAGAAATATTCCAAGACGTGATAAATACTTAAGCTGCCTTTCCTACTAGTCAATAACAGGTCAGAACAGATAACTGAATAATCGGGATGAGGGGTTTTTTGGTTTATCATACGATATGTGACAAATAACATTTATTCCTTCCTTAATTAGAAAATAGTTCCATATAATTATTTTTTTCTCATGCCTACTTCATTTGCAGTTATAGGAAATGGCACTGATGGGAAGCTCCATTATTTAAGCACTGTGACTGTTATTGTATGTGGCAGAGGCTGTAAAAAATATCTTTTGCTATAAAATGTAAAGACATATAAACTACATCTTCACACTCTGTTTTTATCCCTAAAATGTATTTGATTTATTTTAGGTAGTAGTGGATTCTGTAATTCAATCATTGCCATTTTCAAAAGAAGGACTGAGTGTTCAGGATACTGGTGCAATGTATGTTGTTAATACCCCAGCTGGTATTAGCATCAAGTGGGCTCACGTTACAGGCATCATAGATATACAGTATGGATTACAGTCTAACACATCGATGAAAACAGAAGGACTCTGTGGTGAGGCTATGGTGGCATTTTTTTTTCTTATTTAGTAATTTCCCATTTGAAATTTACACCTCCTTTTTGTGTCTGTGACCTGCTGTCCCTGTATCTCTTCTTGTGACCTCCATTAACTACACTGATGATCCTATTTGAGGTGGGCTTGTTAATTTCTATTAATTAATAACAATAAATCAATAATTCTGTTTCCAAGCACTGCTTGCTAATAAAGTAATTTGCAGATCAAGTAATGATCAGTACATTGTAGCTAATTAACTTTTAAAAAATGTACTCATCTGCCTGCGTTTAAGAATATTGTTGAAGTCAAGTAAAGAAAAGGGGAAAATTTTCAATGGAGAAGTGGTTGCTGAAGAAGTTGAGGCAGTGACAGTATATTTCAGTGGTTATGGGAGAAAAGAATAATTGTCAGATGTTTGCAGTGCCAGAGTATTGCTATGCAAATACTGATATAAGGTATAACTTGGGAAGGGTTCAAGTCCCCTGAAGATAGTCAATTCAAATTCAGACCTCTTAAAGTTGGATCTAGGGTCCAAAACTGTGCTGAGGTAAATTACAGTGATAGTAAATTTAGCATGTTTCAGGCTTCCCTGATAGCCTTTTTATAACTCTACCAGTATGAATTATATAGAAAAGTGTAAGCAGGTATTTCAGAGTTACTTTAATTCTACCATAAATGTTCATTTTCTGGTGCATTGTAATTTTACAGAATCTACTCCACATTGAAAAGGAAAATGAACTTTTTATAATCTAAACTGTTTTTAGTTTTAAAAGCAACCAAAACAATTCAGATATGGTTTAAATATTCATATAAACAAAACTGGTGTTTAAAATCAACTGCTATATTCTGCTTGAACAAAAGGAAAGTTCTCCTAGATCTAGTGAGAGAAGGTGAATGCTGTCCGTGGCACTTACTCCAGCTTTTCCCAATATCATGCTATCTTCTCTATGCACACTGAAAAAGATTAGGATGAGATGAGGTCAAATGCAGGAAGGATTATAGAATGCTTACTCTTTGTGCCATGAAAGGACAGAAAGAGGAAGACTATGCAGACAAATCCAACGTCTGCTGTAAAGTGCTGTTCTACCTGGTATTTTGCAGAAAAGTCTGAAGACTCCTTTAGTCCTTCTTTCATATTCTCTGCCATTTGTTCCTGTCTGGGATTCTCCTATCCTCTTCCTCTCATACTGAAAAAATTCTGGGACTATGTGGTAAATTGGCTTTATTTTTAAAGCTGTAATGATTCTGCAATTCTGTAGTATGGCCCTACAAATTCTAACACCAGCACAGTTTGTGGGATGGCACTATGACAGAAGCAAGAAGCGTTAAGAATACTGGAAAGCAGTGCTACTGTCAAATGCTTCTTATTATGCAAATATCACCTTCTGTGTTTCTCCCTGCTGTGTGAGACAGTAACAGCCTGTCACACCAGGCTAGCCCAATTCTAACAATGCACCCTGGAGAGTGCCAGGATGCAGGGCTGGAAGCATGAAGGCAAGGCCTCAGGGTGTGGTTAGCAATGTGGAAGAAAAGTGAAAAAAGGATATAGGAACTTTGGCTGATCAGTCTCTGGGATGTAAATCACTATTATGAAGATTAAAATTTTGGCACTGATGACTTGTTATGTGCTTATAGGAAGTATATGTTTTCATTGATGAATTAATTGAAATACATGCAATCATTAATTAAGGTAGCCAATGGATGTTAGGGGTTTGGGTGGAGCATTTTTTTTTCAGTAATTTTGTATTAATAAATTGAGTATTTTCTCTAGAGAAAGCAATTTGTTCATCAAAAGATTCCTTTCATCACTTTTTGCATTTAGAATGTTCAATTCAGTTTTAATACAGTGTCAAATCAGCAGTGATGTGCAGTTCATTTGAAAGCTGTCTACATGTACTCCCGTGGAGCTGACTGCTATTCAGTAGAATGAGATCAGAATCTGGTGCCATGTCAGTGAATCTGCTACACTCAACAGCACACTTTTGTAGCCGTTTTTCTCAAAAATTAATTAATTGTTGGGAAAAGTATCAGTATTGTATGATCTGCTTGTTTTGCTAAGCTATTGAGCTGACAAATAAAATCACAAGTAGCAACTTGGAACTACAGTGGACATATAGCTGCTTTCATTTATAGATTCAGATAACTAAGTCTCACTGGTGAGCCTCATGCAATGTTAACCTTACCTTATCAAGCGTACCTTTTTTTTTTTTCCCAAAGGAAGTAATAAGGCATGTTTGTTTGTGCTTTGATGCTCTGTCTCCAGGGGTGTGTAATGGAGACCCTACTGATGACCTGAAAACACAAAACAGGACCATAATTACAAATATGGAGGAAATGGAAATGTTCATTAAGAGTTGGGAAATTGAGAAATCACTTGATGTAACAACCAGGAGGCCAGTAAGAAACTGTACTGAAGATAACTGCACATATTGTATGGAACTGTTAAACAGAAGTATTTTCATCCCATGTCACAAGAAAGTGAGTATGAAGATCAGAGAAATTCCAGGTGCAAATTAAATAGAAGTTGTACAGTTAAGAAAAGAGTGAGAGAGATATGCACATTTTTAATGTTTTGCTTATTTGCATGAGTTAACACCTGGATGGGTAGCTTTAATACCTCTGTCATATTGGCTTTAATACTTTTGTCACGTTCATTGTAAACACACATCTATATGGATGCCTGTGCTATCACGCTGTTTTTTACATTAATTGGTAGGCAAAGCTCAAAGGAGAGACACCAGATCATAATCTCAACACAAACACATCCCAAAAGAGTTATTTTTAATAAATGCTTGATATGGGTTACTAAAATAAAAAGCCTCATGCTTCTGTTGCATACAACAGCAACTCATGCAATCTGAGACTGAATGGACTAAATAAATTTCCAGTTAAACAAATTCTGACGCAGACACTATTATGTTGACAATTTGGTAGCATTTCTTACAGAAATCATTATCATTTGTTTCTGTCCACTGTGCTTTCTAATGGGGATATAGCTGTAGGTGCAGACTACCACTAAAGGTGGGTTGTGCAGTACAGCTGCTTCCCAGAACGAGAAAGGAGGAAACCCCAAATCTCTGAGGTCTGACTTACTTTTCCCACTGAATTAAAAATAAAAAGGATTAATTACACAAGTGACCCTTTCTTTCTCAGAGACAGATGTGTCCAGATTCCCGATTCACTTCTTGCTGTTCTGTCCTTTGTTTGTGTTACAATTTGGTTTTCAGCACACACAAATGCTGTTTAAAGGTTTTGAAGGCAGCTGAGCCCCTTCCTTCAAGCTCCCAAGACCTCCCCTCACTTTCCCCAGATAAAAAAAAAAATGGAGATTTTTTTTTATTAAAAAAAAGATTAATAGATATTTGCCACAGAAGCTTAATGGGAGGGTGTCATGTCCTGCTCAGACAAGGGAGACAAGTGACTCTAGATTCATAAATCCCTGACAGAGTGGACAATGGTGAGACAAGTCTCAAAGTCTATGCACAAACATTTATTCATTTCCCATAAAGTACTAATTGGATACACAATAACTGGCTAGGTATATAACAAATTATGGCAAGCGATATAGTATGCCTTGCATCACCTAATGAAAATAAGGAAAAAGAGGGGAAAAAGAAAAGAAGAGAGATGGAGAATAGAGACCACCAGTCTGGGGTCCTGCATTGGTCCCGTCCAAGTTTATCAGGGATGCATGTGTCTTCCTGAATTCTTCATGTCTTCTTTTTTTTTCATCTATTGCTTGCTTGCTCTTGTGCTTGCCTGCCTCACTGCTCGCCTCCCCCTCAATTCATACACGGTTTCCTTGGGTCCATCCCCTAGGTCAACCCACCTACCTATGTATCACCTGTATGAGGAGGAGTAAGGTGCTTCATGGGGTGCTGTAATTAGCATGATCTTGTTGATCTTCATTAGCATATTCGGGGATGTCAACTTTAACATGCATTTTGTGGATAATGAAGCAAAGGTCATTCACCAGGCGGATGGCCCTTGAAATTTTACAAGAGGCACCACAGGGGAGCCATCCTGCCTTCACAAGACTCCCTCTTCCAGCTGCATCTTGTGCTAATCAGGCCACCTTCTCAGCTCCAGACTCCACATTATTCACCCCCATGACTACAGTTTCATTACTTGTGAGCATTTGAGGCATTCCTCATCTTGGAAGGCCTCTGCTCTACCTCATCCCTTATCTCTTTCTCAGGCTGTTTTTCTCAGCCCCTGTTTTGGGGAGTTACAAGTCAGCTCTCACAGAGGGAGCAGTGGTAAGCAGTTTGGAATCAAGAGGGAGAATAGCACCAGTGAGTAGCAGGATGCTTTTCATAATTGTTTTAACATCTCATTTAAAAATTACTAAAGGGAATCTGAATAGTCAGAATTCATACTTCATATATGTTTCCAGGAGAACTCTCATAGCCTCAGATACAATGCAATTGCATCTTTTCCTGGTTTATAGCAAAGCCTGACATAGCATCGGAATTGTCAAGCACATGGTTCATCCATCATGAAATTTGTTTTCTTTGATATATAAGATGGTGGCAGAGCCAGAGTGGATGGAGTGTATTGTGCACTTCACAGGCATGAAGCAACTGGACATGGATAGGTAACAGAGTCATCAGTGTCGTGAACTTTATGACAGAAGTTAGCAACTGCTTGAGGATTTGCTGAAACCACAGGGAGAGCTGGGCTGTAGCACAGTAGTTAACAGGCAGAATGAAACAGAATCTGACTTTTTCCACCTTGTTATAAGCTTATGCAAATAAAACCAACAGAAGTAAGACAGGTTGCACTGCCTGCATATAAACCCAGTAACATATGCTATTGGGTCCTATACACATGGAAAGAGAGCACTCAGTAATAATTCGTTCACAGCAGGAATTTATGGAAGGTATTGTACCAATGTTTAGCTGAGACTGTTGACTTTTATCTGACAGGGCTATACTGCAAAAGTTCTTGTATGTAGTGTCACAATCTAATTAAGACTGTGTTCTGTGCCTACTAATGAGCATAAAAGGTTCTGGCAGTTTAGGTTTTGTAGAGTGAGTGTTCTGAAAAAAATGTCATTCTTTGCACACTGTGATTTTCTCCCTTGCAGCTGTATTATTTCTTGTATTTAATGATTTAATTACAGAAAGATTTTCTGCTTGTTAATTCTCAGTTACGATATGTTCCTAGGTGTCACCACAGGAGTTTTGTGAGAAGATGTGGATCAGCAGTACTTATTTTTGGAATTATGAGTGTGATGCACTTTCTGCATATGTGGCTTTATGCAACAAACACAACATCTGCATTAAATGGAGGACGCCTGACTACTGCTGTAAGCAGACAGCCATGTTCTATACCCCAGTGTGGCTTTATACTGCTGCAGTGTTTAGTGATGAGTTAAAAATATATTTCTTTCTATTGTTATTGTAAGTACCATCTCATTTTATCACAGCATTAGGAAATCAGGGTACAAGTTCTTAAGATGCATTTAATCAAAGTGCCATGAATCAGTTTTAATCTTGTTTTAATGAGTTGCTTACCTAAAGTACTGTTAAAAATATAAATGCCTGCTTTCTATGATGCACTCACTTGTTCTTACTACCAGTTTATCCAATGATATGCTGAAAAAATAACAGCAGCACTCAATGTCCTATTTTTATGACTTGCAGCATTGAGTTGTCCTGAGGGCAAGGAATACCAGCCTTGTGTGCAACCCTGTGAAGCCAAGACGTGCTTGAATAAATGGTTCTATGAAGATTCTCCCTGTTCCTATTTAAGGGAAGACTGTGTGTGTAAAAATGGCACTATTCTGCATAGAACAGACTCTGACCTCTGTATACCAGAAGAAAAATGTAGTAAGTGCAGCAGAAGAGTAGTTTTGCAGATATGGTAATATTAACCACAGCTCTGTGTAAGCAATGTTTAAGTTCCATGTCAGCCTTCAGTAAGCGTGAATCTGGTACAGCTCCCTTCAACAGAACCTAGCTTTATCTCAAGCTGCAGCAGTTTGTGCTTTTGCTTCACTTGGACTCAAGACCCGGGGCTGATGTACTTCTCTTGGGTAAAAACAATGGTCATTCTTCTGTAGCCCCCAGGCTTTCTTTCCTGGAGTAGTCAGGAAGGAATAGCATGGGCAGGTTCTTTCCTTTGCACTCAGTACTTATTTTCACCTACAGTGAAGCGTCTGTTCATTTGGGGTTTTTAAGGTCATACTATTTTCTTGGATTCTTTGATCATAATGCTCCGCATGCTTTTATTTTATGCAATTCATAGTTGCTTGCAGGAAATCTCTACTCTCTAGTTGTTGAAGGGATATAATGTTTTTTCTCTCAGCATGTACAGACAACAAAGGACAACCCCGCTTTGCTGGGGAGATCTGGAATGGATCTGTGAGAGGCTGTTGCATGTATAACTGTTTAGCAAATGGAAGCATTGTTGCTGTAGAACCTGAATGCAGTGATGATCCACCACCAGTCTGTGAAAGAGAAGGGGAAGTTATTGTCCATGTCATCGAAGAGGGAGCTTGCTGTCCAAAGAAAGTTTGTGGTAGGTACCACATTTGTTTTCAGTAACAGAAGTATAAGGTGCTTGATATTCACTGGCAGACAATCTCTAGACAGGGTTTAAGGTAACATTTTTCAGAAGTGATTTTTTTGTACTTGGGGCTGGTTGGGCCAGCAAAGCAGGCTTCTCTTCTTTGACAGAACTGATTCACTGAAATATTTTTTTTTTGTCTTAGAAGTCCACTAGTGAAACAAAACTTCTGTTAAAAATTAATTTTAAAGCTTTTGGGTGTAATTTCAAAAGAACTTGATAAATACTTGATGACAGAAGTAACTTGGTAATTGGGGCAGTCATCAGAGCCTGTTTGCTTCTCTTATTAGTGCTTTGGTGTCAAGAGCAGTATCCACTGTCCTACTGCTATTTCCCAGAAGCAGTATTCTGTGAGCTGATCACTGAAAGCTAATATGCTGTCTAGACATGGTTGTTAGAAAAAGGAATAAGCTTATTTCTCCTAAAATGTTAAGCAAAAGATACTTATTTCTTCATAACATCTTCAAGGAAAATGAGAAAAAATGGTCCAGCTGATATGGTGCTTTTGCTCATTAGTTAGATACCTGTGACCAACACTGTACTGTCAATTTGTTTAGGGAATATTTTCACTGGGACATTTTAGCTGGCTTCATGTGCAGGAAGCAGAGCAAGTAAGTACCTGCTTTAAGAGAGATATAACTGTGCTAGCACAGTACCGTGTGAATGTAGGTATACAAGCCCTGGGTTGAGCTCAGAGGTCTAACCTGATGATATGGAGTGCAATTTAAGTTGATTTGGGCTGCTCTTAGTTTGTGTATCTCTATACTAGATGGTATAAATATCTTGAGCTATAGGACTTGCACTTGTATATGTTCAAATATGTCAAAATTTATTGTTTTTTATCCCACAGAATGTAACATGTCATTGTGTGATGCCATTATTCCAACATGCAAACCCAATGAAAAATTAGTGGTAGGGTACCACCCCCTGTCCTGCTGTCCACAGTATCGATGTGGTAAGGGAAATACAAAAACAGTTACTGGGATACTTTCCACACTCGTGTTATGTGTTGTAAGAAAATCTGCCTTAGAAGTTGTTTTGATGGTTAACAGAATTGAGACATTGTAAATATCACCAGGCAATGATGTATTTTTTTTCACACTCTCCAGTATTTTTTTGTGTTTGTGTTTTGTGTCACTTTTGATTTACAGTTAATTTGGAGTATTTTGTGTTACTCAGTAGATGAAGAATATATTTTATCTTTTTAGTATTGTTTCTGTGACTCTCTTTGAGATACTGTTTATTTCACATTCTACAGAATGTGATCCTTCAGTTTGTTTCAATGCTTCCCAGCTGGACTGCAGAGAAGATCAATTTATTGTTGAAGCAAAACAGGAAGATTCCTGTTGTTTCTCTTATCTCTGTGGTAAGAAGCCTCTAATATTTTTATGGATAACTAAAAAATAGTTACGTATTTACAAAACCAGTCTATAGTTCTAAACCTAATAATGTAAGCCAGGAATTATTGGAGAGGTAAGTGGGACTTCATACAGGTCAGGCTGTCTGAAGCATGAATTATTCTTGGGTTCTCGGGCCTTTATTTCCAACATAATTCTGATCATCATATTTGAACTTTGTTATGGTTTTATATTTGAATGTCAATTCATAAAAGCTCTGTTATCCAAGTAACAAAGGTAATATGACTTGTTATATAGTCTATTAAATAGAATTCACATGTACTAACTTTTTAGTATTTAAGACTTTGTAAATTTCTGATTTTTTTTTTAATTTAGTCTGTGAATCCTGTATTGAGCCCGTTCCCTTGTGTAATGAAGGGGAAATTCTCACTGTAGACCTTAATACCATACATTACTGTTGTCCTCATTACTACTGCGGTGAGTGGACCTGATGTCAGTTCATTATGTTACCAAATTTAGTCAAAATGACAGATGTTCTCCGTGTGTGTAGAGTTTTTTGATTCAGCATTTAGGGTGGGATTCAGATAGAGATTAAGAGATCTAAATGAGGGTTTCTGCATTTGAGGTAGGTTCACAGTTATTGGTACACTCAGTGATGGTCTAACCAACTCAGTCAATGGAGTCTGGAGAGGTTATTTAGGTCACCAGACAGCGTATAGCTACTTTCAGGGTGATCTAAATACCCATATATTAGTGTGGAACTGAATCCCATCCTTGGAGTATACAGTTGTTCATATATTAAAACAACCATAATAAAGGAGCTTTCATGTTGTTGTTCCTCTGGTGTACCATTCATTAGGCAGTTTCTTTGCACTTTCAGCTTTTAGGGGAAGGAGTAGGACAAGGATTTCAAATACTGCTGGGTTGACTACTATTCAAACAATGAGCAGGTAGAAGAAAAATATTTGCAGTGTAATGTAGTGTCTTTGGTAACCTCATAAAACACAGAAATGGTGCTGTATGTTCTTATGCAAAGTCTGCAAGTTTAAGTGCTTAATTTAGATTAACTCTTGTCCTATTGCAGTCTTTGGGTATCTTCAATTAATTAAATTGTCTTCCGGTAAATATGGAGCTTAGTAATTTTTACTTCAAGGGGTTCCATATTTTGGTGCTTTCCTTCTCCTAGCACTTGCATCCAAGTGAAAGTTTCTGAAAAAGTGTTCAGCACTGGTTTTGCCAAATTCTGGCAGGTAGAAAGTTAGATCTTAGTATGTGGTCTTCCTTCAGAGTCCCAGTAAGCCACCTCCAATAAGGCAGGTATTTTCTTACTAGAGTAATTCCAGGAGGGGAGTTGCTCCCTGTATCTTACAGAAATGTTCTTTACAGTACATTTGTAGCTGAGAGAAAAAAACCCTGTGCTTTCCAAAAGCTGTGATTTTAGTTGCCTTTGGTACTGGCTATCAGCTTAAGTGATTCTGAAGTAGGAAGAATATTAAATGATTCCTATGTGATGTTTTCTGAAAATTTAAACATGTTCTAAGGCAACTCAAAGCACTTTTGAAAGTATTTATTTTTCATTTCAAAATATAATTCCAATGCTTAAGAAACACAATAAAAATTTATTTTAAATGTTATTATATTAAAAATAGTTTATCAAGAGAAATAAAAGCTGAAAAAAATAAAGGAAATTTGAGTAAATTCTCATATATGTATTTTCCCCCAATTTAGTTTGCGATGAAAATCTTTGTTCTGAGCCTCCTATGAATTGCACAGATGACATGACACTTGTGAAGGAAAAAATACCTGGGCAGTGTTGTCCAGAATGGCACTGTGGTAATTATTGCTTTATTCCTTAGTCACTGCTGTTAACAAAAGCTAACAATTAGGTAACTGAGTAATACGGTTTTCTTTTCTCAGAATGTAGCTGTGAAAACACTACTAAACTGACCTGTAAATTGGTAAGCACTGTCCTTTAGATATATTTATTAATGGTGTTCAGCCCTCTTACTCCTCCCTTTCCGTTCCTTGTTTCAGTTAGCTGTAAAGGGTGATGAGGCTGAATAGGGACAGGCTGGGACTGCCTCCCAGTCCCCTGCTCAACCATGTTACTCTAGCAAGTGTCTGCCCAGTGTTGTCAACTATTCCGTGCGGAAATTTCACCTTGTGTGTTTTAAGATGTCAAAATAAGAAAAGCAATTGTAATATTACTCTGTTCAATGTTGACTTGAAACAATATGCTGGGAAGGTTTTCCATGTAAATAATTCCCAACTGGTTTTAATAATTAATGAGAAATGAGCCTTATGATCATATGTATCATCTGTAGAAATGTGTTATTTTGTTAATCATTTATGCTTTTGACTAAAATGATATAACATTATTGAATTTAGATGACATGAGAAATCATAAATATTTTGCTCCTCACATACTTTCTCATAATAGGGAGTGTGATCTGGAAAATAATTATGAGTCAATGTTCAAACTCCCATTATTATCATAGTGACAGGGATATTTTCCCTATCAAATGCCTGTAGTCTGTCCTTCTCTTCCCCTTATATGAAGACTGCATAATGTAAGGTCTAAGCAGGAGTTACACGTTTGAATAGCTTTCACCTATCTTTTGAAAAAAAATTCACAGAAGGTAGTCCTTTGCTAATATGTTTATTATTGAAATAACTTTGCATGTCAGGATAAATTGCTGTTTAGCAACCCTGCTACTCATAGGCCTTTCTAGAGAAAATGAAGTGCTTTTCTCCTGTTTAAAGAGATAAATACACTGAGTAAGTCTAAATGTGCTACTGTTTCTTGAGTACATTGCATTTTTTCTCTTTTATGAAAGCAGGGGTGGAAGTGATGGAAGTAATATGTTACATTTTAAAAGAAATATTGTCTGTTTAGCACTCCATTTAATTGTGCATGACTTTGAAAGCTCTTTTATCTTTTTACATTTAGGGAGAAGTTAAAAAAATAGATGATAGTGTTTCCAGTGCTTGCGGATGCACTCACTACATTTGTGGTAACTTTTTCATATTCCTAGCTGTTTTGTTTTTAGTAAAAAAGGCATGTAAAGAAAGCAGAAATAGGACCATAATAACCTTCTCAAATGTACACACTCTTTTAGCTTGATTTTATGGGTGTCTACACATAAAATTATGCAATCATGCCCTTTTTTTCTGAGTATGATGCTTTGTTTGCTAACCCATCCATTTTGTGTCTGTTCTGGTGGGGTATAGGAGTGTCATTTAAGTGCCCATTCTTTCAGTCAGATATGGTCTCTCTGGTGAGAGGCAGACAGGAAGCAGTTTGTGAACCTTAGCTGAGTGTGAGTGGTGTGACTGCTTCTAGTTTACTGTCGAGCACAGACGAGACAACGTCTCGCACCAGAGCAACAGATCTATCCAGCCAGCAGGTACTCAGTCTTAAGATCAGACCTCTGCTTCCTTCCCTCACTCAGCTACTCTGTGTAGACTAGATTTCAGCTGTACTGTGCACAGGGGTGCTTGAAGTATGCTGCAATCCTGACGGCAGCCCAGGCTTGACTGCCTCCAGGAGCAAAGCACACATTTACAGTAACAGCTTGAGCATACTACTGTCCCACAAGTAATTGTAGAAATACCAGTTTAATTGACAGAAAGGCTACATTTTGTGATGTCCACAATAATTCATATAGTGTACTTAGCTATGTTAAATACTAGAATTCTTTAAAAATAAGAACAACAGATATCTTTGACTTCCACAGTAGGACCACTATCTATTTTAGGCAATTTAGGATTTTGTAGCATTTTCTTAGGCTGAATTATACCTTTTTCCACTGTCTTGTTTGGTAATTAAAGCCACAAACCAATCAAGTCTAAAAGTTAGAATACTTTTGCAGAGCATAGGACTTTGCCCTACTTTTGTCTTCACATTTATTCTGTTAATTTGCTTGATGATTTATTTTATTCCCCTCCGGTAACATTTATTTCTTTTGGTGTTAGAGAAGGATGATGTGTGCATCTTCCAAGAGGTCACGGTACTGAATCCTGGACAATCAGTGATTCAGTACTTGGATGGAGACATTTGTTACACTGTACAGTGTTTACAAGACAAAGATCAGAACACAGGATACAATGCCATACATTTTACAGTGGTGAACTGTTCCCAGCAATGTGAAGATGTGAGTATTCATAAAATACCCGGAAAAAAAGTCAAAGTGAAGTCTTTTGCTAGCCTTGTTTGCTCAGCAAGAGCTCGAGAACTTAACAGTGATGACGTGTATCTTAGAATCACAGAAGAATTTAGGTTGGAAAAGACCTTTAAGATCATCAAGTCCAACTGTTAACCTAGCACAACGAGGTCCTCCACAAAACCATGTTCCTAAGCACCACATCTACACATCTTTTAAATGCTTCCAGAGATGGTGACAACCACTTCCCTGGGCAGCCTGTTCTAATGCCTGACAACCCTTTTGCTGAAGAAATTTTTCCTAATATCTAATCTAAACTTCCCCTGGTTCAACTTGTCCCATCTCTTGCTACTTGGGAGATGAGACCGATGCCCACTTCACTACAACTTCCTTTCAGGTAGTTGTAGAGAGCAATAAGGTCTCCCCTGAGCCTCCTTTTCTCCAGGCTAAACAAGCCCAGATCCCTTATCTGCTCCTCATAAGAATTGTGCTCTAGACCATTCACCAGCTTTGTTGCCCTCCTTTGGACATGCTCCACCATCTCAATGTCCTTCTTGCAGTGAGGGGCCCAAAACTGATCACAGTATTTGAGATGCACCCTCACCAGTGCAGAGTAGAGGGGGACGGTCACTTCCTTAGTCCTGGTGGCCCACAGTTTCTGATACAAGACAAGATGCTATTGGTCTTCTTGGCCACCTGGGCGCACTGCTGGCTCATGTTCAGCTGGGTGTTGACCAACACCCCCAGGTCCTTTTCTGCCAGGCAGCTTTCCAGTCACTCTTCCCCAAGCCTGTAGCATTGCATGGGGTTGTTGTGACCCAAGTGCAGGACTTGGCACTTAGCCTTGTTGAATCTCAAAAAACTGGCCTTGGCCCATCAATCCAGCCTGTCCACATCCCTCTGTAGAGCCTTCCTACCCTCAAGCAGATCAACACTCCTGCCCAAATCAGCGTTGTCTGCTAACTTACTGAAGGTGCACTCAATTCCCTTGCGCAGCTCATTGATAAAGATATTAAACAGAACTGGCCCCAGTACTGAGCCCTGGGAAACACCACTTGTGACCAGCTACCAGCTGTATTTACCTCCATTCACCACCACTCCCTGGGCCTGGCCATCTAACCAGTTTTTTTTCTCAGTGAAGAGTACAACCATCCAAGCAATGAGCAGCCAGTTTCTCTAGGAGAATGCTGTGTGAAATGGTGTCAAAAGCTGTAGTAAAATCTAGGTAGGCAACATTTACAGCCTTTCCCTCACCCACTAAGTGGGACCCCTTTTCATAGAAGATCAGGTTAGTCAAGCAGGTCTTGCCTTTCATAAACCTATGCTGAGTGGGCCTGATCAACTGGTTGTCCTCTATGTGCTGCATGATGGCACTCAAGATGACCTGCTCCATAACCTTCTCTGGCACCAAGGTCAGACTGAAAGGCCTGTAGTTGCCCAGATCCTCCTTCCACCCCTTCTTGTAGATGGACATCACATTTGCTAACTTCCAGTCAACTGGGGCCTCCCCAGTTAGCCAGGACTGCTGATAATGATGGAAAGTGGCTTGGTGAGCACTTCTACCAGCTCCCTCAGTACCCTTGGGTGGATCCCATCTGGCCCCACAGACTCGTGTGTGTCTAAGTGGTGCAGCAGGTCATTAATCATTTCTCCTTGGATTATAGGGGCTCCATTCTGCTCCCCGTCCCTGTCTTCCAGATCAGGGTAGCTGGAGAACAACTGGTCTTACTATTAAAGACTAAGTCAAAGAAGGCATTAAGTATCTCAGCCTTTTCCTTATCCTTGGTCACTACATTTCCCCTTGTATCCAATAAAGGACAGAGATTTTCTTTAGCCCTTCTTTTGCTGCTAATGTATTTATAGAAACATTTTTTATTGTCTTTTATGGCAGTACCCATATTAAGTTCTAGTTGGGCTTTGGCCCTTCTAATTTTCTCCCTGCATAACCTCACGACATCCTTGTAGTCCTGAGTTGCCTGCCCCTTCTTCCAAAGGTCATAAACTCTCATTTTTTTCCTGAGTTCTAGACAAAGCTCTCTGTTCAGCCAGGCCAGTCTTCCTCCCTGCCATCTCGCCTTTTGGCACATGGGGACAGCCTGTTCCTGTGACTTTAAGATTTCCTTATTGAAGAATGTCCAGCCTTCATGGACATCTTTGCCGTTCAGGACTGCCTGTCAAGTGACTGTCAACCAGTCTCCTAAACAGGCCAAAGCCTGCCCTCCAGATGTCAAAGGTGGCAGTTCTGCTGACCTCCCTCCTTACTTCTCCAAGAATCAAAACCTATTATTTCATGATTGCTATGCCCAAGATGGCCTCCAGCCATCACATTGCCCACAAGTCCTTCTCTGTTTGCAAACAAGAGGTCCAGTGGGACGCCTTCCCTGGTTGGCTCAGTCACCAGCTGTGTCAGGGAGTTACCTTCCACACTTTCCAGGAACCTCCTAGACTGTTTCCTCTCTGCTATATTGTATTTCCAGCAGACATCTGGTAAGTTGAAGTCCCCCATGAGAGCAAAGGCTAGCGATTGTGTGACTCCTCTCTGCTTACAGAGTATTTTGTCTGCCTCGTCATCCTGGTTGGGTGATCTGTAACAGACTCCCACCATGATATCTACCTTGCTGGCCTTCCCCCTGATTCTTAGCCATAAGCACTCAACCCCATAGTCACCATCATTAAGCTCTAGATAACCAAAACACTCCCTAACATACTGGGTTACCCCACTGCCTCTCCTTCCTTGCTTATACCTTCTGAAGAGTGAATAACATCCATTGCAGCACTCCAGTTGTGCAAGTCACCCCACCATATTTTTGTGATGGCATCTATGTCATAGTTTATCTGCTGCACAATGGTTTCCAGGTCCTCTTGTTTGTTGACCATGCTGCGTGCAATTGTGTAGATGTACTTCAGCTGGGCTATTGATCCCACCACCTTTTTGGAGGGAGAAGCCCTAATTCCTATGTGACCATTCTCAGGCTCTTCTCTGGTTTCTAACACATCAATACCCTCACGTCTTTGCTGCAGCATGGATCTCCATCCCCTAGCTCCACTGAGATGGCAGACAGAAGGACCTCATTAACACACCATCCCTCAAACATTGGCATGCCACCTCCAGGCTTATCTCTAGTGAGCCTGGTTTCCCCTTTCCCCTTTAAATCTAGTTTAAAGCTCTTTTAGTGAGTCCTGCTGACTCCTGTGCAAAGATCCTTTTCCTCCTTTGAGACAGGTGCATCCCGTCTCTTTGCCAGCAGGCTTGGTGTTGTGTAGACCAATCCATGACCAAAACACCCAAAAATCTGCTGGCATCACCAGGCTTCGAGCAAGGTATTGGTCTGCTGGCTCCTCCTTTTTCTTCCCTCATCACTCCCTGCAACAAGAACAGCACTTGTGCTCCCGGTCCCTTAACCAGCCATCCCAAGGCCCTGAAGTCTCTCTTGATTGCCCTCAGACTTCTTGTTGCCATTTCATCGCTGACTACCTGAAAAATCGGTAACAGATAATAATCTGAGGGCCATACCAGGGTAGGAAGTTTTCTCTTCACATCTTTAACCCAGGCCCCAGGGAGGCAGTGGACTTCCCTAAAAAGTGGGTCCAGTCTGCATACTGGGCCTTCTGTTCCCTTCAGAAGGGTATCTCCTATGACAACTACCCATCCTTTTTTCTTTATAGAAGCAGTTCTGATGCTGGGAATAGGCTTATTTAACCTTGGTGACACCTCCAAGCTAGATGAACCATCATCCTCATTATTGTTTGGTTCAACCTGCAGAGCCTCATCCTGTTACGCAGGGGCACCTGAAAGGTGGGGCAGTCACAGAGGAGACATGCCAGCTGAGCTGGGCAGGAACTTGTGGCCATTGCCCCCTGTCCCTTAAGTCACTGTGTTCATCCAGGTGGAGAGAGGACAGGGAATCCTCCGTATCATGCGTCCTGTCTGTCTGTCTGGCCTGTCTCAGGGAAGGTAGGATGTGATTCCAGGAGCCTATCTCTCTCCTGCACTCCCTGACACTCCTAACCTACTCACCTCCTCCCAGAGCAATGTCACTAAGCGGAGGAGTCCCTGTACCTGGGCGCAACTCCCACATCTTGTGTCTCCAGGATTGAGAGGGAATTTCTAGCAGCATACGTAAAAATATCCATCCATCCATCCATCCATCTATCCATACATTGTTTCTTTTGCTATTTTTAATTTCAGAAATCAGTAAATTTTCATATACTGTATGTTTAAAAAAATCCTTTTTTTTTCCTTTTTTTTACTTTCCTTTCTTTCCAGCATCAAATATATATTCCTTCCTCCAGTCACTATACTTGTTGTGGTACCTGTCAAAATGTGTCCTGCTCTTTTCATACTGAGAATGGAACACTAGTCGTGTATGAGGTAAGTGCCTCTGGACATAGACAGAAAATTACTATAATGATAATTAAAGAGGTGTCTGAGAGTCACTTGTCAGTTAACTCATGCTGTGAGTCCTGCTTCATACCTCCTTACTGCTGGTTACACACTTAGGGACTATTTATAGTGTATGACAGGAAAAAAATGTGTTTATTTAAAGACCTGCCATTTCACACTAGGCAAGTAACTTATTTCATTCTACTGGTTGTAATGTTTTATACAAAGACAGGAGAATGTCATCATTCACTTAACACTGGGTGTTAAGTTAACTCTAAGTGCAGGTTAGTGTTCAAAGTAACTCTAAGTCATATATTGTGATTTAGATGAGTTGGGAGCCTCTGAGTCCACATCATAACTCCCATGTCCCCCCCTACCCACGGCCACGCTTCTCCTCGTTCGGATTTCTACAGAAAGGAAATGTGCAAACTGAAGCACTGGGGCTCAGGACCCTGATGGCATGTTTCAGCATCCACATACAAGGAAATCTAGATGTGGCCATGACTTGGTTCATGCTTCCCATTGCTTTCAGAGCAAAAGAAACTAGAGACTTCTTTTTCTAGTGCAGAGCCCTTTTGTTCTGCACTAGGACACCCATGGTGAGCAGCAAGCTGCAGAGTAGAGCCATGGCTCCGGGGAGGAGTAGCCACTGCTGGTTAGGGGATGGTATTTCACTCTGCAGTCTGAGTGGTCTGCAACAAACTTTCCACTCCAATAGGTACTACAGCACGAAAGCACCACTTTTACAGACACTTGAGGCTGGAGATAAAGCTGAAATGTTTTGTCTTTCCTGATAATGGTTTGGTTTGTATATTCAGGAAGGAAGTACCTGGAGCTCCAACTGCACCAACTACAAGTGTGCAAAGACTGCTGCGGGGGCTATCATACTGGGATCAAGTGTTGTCTGCCCCCCTTTTAACGACACTGAGTGTACAAAGGTTTGTACTTTGGGTGAGGTAAGTGACAATAACTGACCTGGAGTTTGGCTTACATTTGACAATGCATGCATACCTCATGCATTTTCTTTAAATCAAAAAAGTAGTAAGTAAAAACATGTAAGTGAGCAATTTACAGTCTTATGTGTTCCTGTTTGCTTTTTGACTGACAAAATATCTGCGAGGAGTATGTAAGTTTGTTTTTTGGGTCTTAATGCTGATTGCTTTTAAAATATTGTGGAATTGGAATCATGCTTGACACACCACTATACAAAGTGCTAATCACTATGTCTTAGTTTAGTTTGGAATAACACTTTGCCAAGTTCATAGTACACACACACTAAATAAATTGGATCAAGCAATTCAGAAATGCCGCATAGAGAAGTGGGCTATATTAAAAATTCCCTAAGTTGTGTAAAGATTAGAAAGATGACAGAGTATCTACAAACTCTATTACCTCTTAAACTGAACTTTGTATAAAATAACAAATAAAACCTATCATACATGAAAGGGTATCTACTTACATCATATATCTAAAAATGTAAATTTGGCAAAACCATATAAACTGGTTTGAAGAATGTGGATGCTTCACGTTCATTACATGCTTGTTTACAATTTAATTTCTAATTTAATACTTCTCTTTGTAATACTGCTTATAATTCTTGCACTTGCATTATACCATATATTTAATATAAGCTGCAAATAATAAATATACATGTAGAGAGGGTAAGTAACATTGCTGTCTTGACTACAGATTATAAATTTAGCACAAGTCCTACTTATCCATTGCATTTGCTTAAAAAAGTCCTTATTTCTTCCAATCCTGAAGGACGCATTCTATCTAAAATTAATGCCTGTTCTACTTTGACTTTATGCTTGAGTTTCTTCCTTGGAACCCTTTTGTCATCACCTATTAGGATTTTTCCCTAGTAATAATGGTTAAGATTTTAAAGAATAGAGCCCTAAAATTAACTTCCTGAATCAGTCTGACCTGTTTTTCAGAGATGCTGAGCATAGACTTGGACCAGTAGCTAAGAAGAAAGCTCTTCTGACAGGCAGCTCAGGATAATTTAGGAATGTGGATTTAAGAGGCTGGCTTTAAGTGCTCATTTAGGAAGTTCTTCAACAAGTTATTCAGTAATTTTTCTGTGATGAGATAAAAAATGCATGCTACCATGAAAAGATGGGAGCTTATAAATGTCTTTTGTCTGTTATTGTAAGAGTGCTATTTGTGTTCAGCTGTATGCTTGATATGCAGTTCTGGGCTATGCACTAAAATTGTGGTTGTGTGTTTTCTTGTTTGTACCCATTCTGACAGATTCTGACAGCCTCTCTCTGTCTCTCTCCCTCTCATGCTCTCTTAATTTCAAAATGACATTTTCTTTACTTTCACATTTTTGCTTTCTAGTGAACAAGCAACTTTAGCATAAATAAATAACAAAGAGTATAACTGAGAAGAAGAATTGAGCACAGCAATGGTTCTGAAATTCTGCAGTTAATATATATACATATTTAATGTTATAAAGACCTACTTACTAGGTATTAATTTTCTCCTTGGCATATGATCAGTGTAAATCCTATTACATCATCAGCAAAGTTGCATACAAGAATTTTTTAAACTATCATAACAAATCTCAGTGGTGGAACAATAGATGGTAGTGGATGATATAAAAGGACGCTTATAGAAATTAAGTGGCTTATTCAAAGGAGACTCGATCAGATAAGATAAGCAGTGACGAGTTAATTTTCAATGTTAAAGGCTGTAAAGAATTTGGGAACCAAACCTTCAGCTCATACATATCACAGAATCATAGAATGGTTTGGGCTGGAAGGGACCTGAAAGACCACCTAGTTCCAACCCCCTGCCCTGGCCAGGGACCCCTTCCCCCAGCCCAGGTTGCCCAAAGCCCCGTCCAGCCGGGCCTTGGACACTCCCAGGGAGGGGGCAGCCACAGCTGCTCTGGGAAACCTGGGCCAGGGCCTCACCACCCTCACAGGGAAGAACTTATTCCTTATATTTAATCTAAATCTGCCCTCTTTCAGTTTAAAGACATTACCCCTTGTCTTATCACTACATGCCCTTGTAATTTTTACAAGTCCTGCTCTCAGCTTTCTTCTAGGCTCCCTTTAGGTACTGGAAGGCTGCCGCAAGGTCTTCCTGCAGCCTTCTCTTCTCCAGGCTGAAACCCCCCAGCTCTCTCAGCCTGTCCTCATAGGGGAGGTGCTCCAGCCCCCTGATCATCTTCGTGACCACTCTCTGGGCCTGCGCAAGCAGGTCCATGTTGTTATTATATTGGGGGTCCCAGAGCTGACCTGGTAGGGTCTCATGAGAGCAGAGGGGGAGAATCACCTCCCTTAACCTGCTGGTCATGCTTCTTTTGATGCAGCCCAGGATATGGTTGATTTTCTGTGCTGCAAATGCACCCTGCCAGGTCATGCTGAGCTTCTTGTCAACCCACACCACACAGTCCCTCTCTGCAGGGCTGCTCTCAATCTGTTCTCCAGCCACTCTGTACTTGTGCTTGGGATTGCCCCGACCCATGTGCAGGACCTGGCACTTGGCCTTGTTGAACTTCCTGAGGTTTGTGCAGCCCCACCTCTCCAGCCTGTCCATGTCCCTCTGGATGCCATCCCTGCCCTCCAGCGTGTCGACCGCACCGCACAGCTCGGTGTTGTCAGCAAACTTGCTGAGGGTGCACTTGGTCCCACTCTCCCTGTCACCAACAAACATGTTAAACAGCACTGGTCCCAATACCAGCCCCTGAGGAACGCCACTTGTCACTGCTCTCCACTTGGACATTGAGCTGTTGACCGCAACTGTTGGAGTGTGACCATTCAGCCAATTCTCATCCACTGAGTGGTCCATCCCTCAAATCCATGTATCTCCAATTTAGAGGCAAGGATGTCATGTGGGACAGTGTCAAATGCTTTGCACTATCTGTGTAATCCTCCCAATTTCAGTGATAGTATTTTTTATTAGTTGGACATCTTTATTACATGGAATATCTTAGATACAATTCACCTTTGTATTGGGCACAGTCTTTTTTGATATATTCTCCTTTTATTTTCCCAGAATGGAGGAATTGTGCAGACGTATAATGATGGCTGCTGCAAGACTTGTAAGTGATGAAGGCTGCAATATCTGCTAGTTTGGCTTTGGTTTTGGAGGGCTTGTTTTTTTTAACCTCAGTTGCTGCGACATAAAGAAGGAAAAAGCATGCAGTCCCCCCACAAATCACATAAAATTATTATAGTTGCCTAACTATAACCTATTAAAAGGTCTTGCTTCATTTGGCTGCTGACTTGGTGATTTTTAACATTGTTGTTCTGGAGTATAACCAAATCTCTCCAAATACAACCTATAGAAGATGAAAAATTATCTATAGTTTAGCTATAAGTAATACTGATGTTAGCAACCCTTATTTAAAATTGACTTTTTAATATCTGGGAATACATTCACATTTTCTGAGTGTGTAACTTTAAAATATAATGAATAGTGATGCAAGCTTATATAAAGGTTTTATAATTTATGCAATTTAAAAATTCAATTGAGAAGAAACTGATTTTCTCTGTAGTTTTGAACAGGAAAGGTTTTATTTTCAAGGTATGTTATTATATATACACAAAAATAAAACACTGTTGTGTAAGACTAATTGTGTACAGCAAGAACTTGTTGACTGCCACAGAAAATCCACCCCCTTTTTTCTGGCCTTTTTTGTGTTCAATGTTAGAGTTAAAATATATAAGCAAATTAGATATTGGAATTTTTTTAGACAAACCTTTACTCAGTAATAATGAATAGGAAGTCACATACTTACATATTGCACAGTTACTAAATAAAATTCAGAAGTGCAATGTATTGTAAATAATTTGGCCATATAAGGGGAAATATTCATATCTATCAAGTACAGAACAGTACTCAAATTTCCAAGTTACACAAAGCTTTGGAAGTGAACTGCTAGTATTGTTGTTCTATTGTATGCAAAACATAGAAAATAAAAGCTATTTTAATACAACAGAATTTTTTTTTTTTTCAGAATGAGAATCAGCATACAAAAGTAACACACCAGAATTGTGCTAAAATCTTACTAATCAATATTCTTCCTCTAATAATAGAAGCTATGTTGAAAAACATTTAACGATTCTGCCCCACTCCCCAATTAGGTTGGCTTCATTTAGAAAATTAGTCTAAAGAATTAATGGCTACTGGTTTTCTGTTGACCAGGAAGATTTATAATTTTGGCTATATTCTGTGGCCTCAGGAAAGGCATCGTTATACTTCAGAAATACTTGCTGAGGTGGCTGCTAAAAAACAGATATAATTCATACAATTGTATGTTATTTCATTTTTATTTTAACTAAAAGCATGTGCCATGTGGTGAAGCAGTTAAAAGGAATATTTATAAACAGAGCTTGCAACATCTTGGTGGTTTAATGGGAACAAATAATCTTTCCGAAAGAGCTTGATTCAATGCATGCAAAGTGAGTGCATATACTTAATTCTTACCTTGCCATAGAGAGACTCATTGCAAAAGTTTGGTTTACAAGGAAGCATCATTCCAGTTTTGTGTTAACCAGGAGAGTAATAAAGTTTAGGCCACCTTTAGTGAGACCTGAAACAGCTGCAGAGTTTCTAAATTTGGAAGACTAACAGGAAAGCTCATCATCTTTTGCTGAAAGAAAAATTGCAGTTGGCAGTGTAAGAATTAATGAAATGTCATTTATATAAAAATGTTTTTATTTCACAAGAAACTTATATTCCTAATGATTCTGCCAGGTTCTGGATTGGGTCTATTACCCTTTGCCATTAGTCCAGTAGTGCCTACTGGTAGTATTAATTGTGAACCAGGTATTATTTTTAATAATGTATTTTCCTTTTTTTAATAATAGTGTAAACACTGCTTGATATATGTGTATAGCTGTCATCACCTTTAAATGTTACCACACAGTTAATGGTACCAGGCCTGATACTGAGAGATGCTGATCCCCCGCTGGCTTCCCGAATCAGTGGTATTCTAAAGCCTTGTTAGGGTTCACTGCTCAGCACCTGTCAGAATTAGGTTCATCCATTTATGGTATATGCTGCTGACGGTTCTTCCTGCTGTTCATTTCTGAAATTGCTTTTAATATGTGAACTTGCTGTACAGAGTAGTTGTAATAAGGAATGTTACTTTAAAAAATATCATCCTGAATACTGTTACCAAGAGATCCTATATCTGATCTCAGGTCTCTGAATTTAATGACTGAACTGTTTTTGCCTTAAAATAGAGCAAGAGTGTGCATTATTGCCCAGTCTCACCTTTGCAAATATGGATTTATGTTGTATTTCTTCTTTGTCACAAATACCATGTTTTACAAAGTTATGAAAACGTTGGGGGGGGGAAACATACGATTACAATCGTGTTAATAAATACTCTTTACACCAGAAATTACAGAATGTTACAGAACTGTTGCATTAGGAGCATAATTCTTTGCTTTTAAGGATAGGTAAGTCACAGAAACTCCTTACTCAAATAAGGAGTGAATAATACCAGCACACCTGATACTGAATGCAGATCTTGACAGTTGAAGGTGGGAGAGAGAAAAGTCTAGCAGCAGAGTTTTCATTAGGCATCAGCACCTTATACACTGAAATGTCATATATCTCTATGACTTGTAGAAGTACAAAGGTTGCATTGTCTACACATATTCATGCTGGCAAACGCTTTCTGAGATATCACTTCTTTTTATTAAGTGTTGCTGAGGAAGAAAAACGAAGATACTGTAGGCTAACAGCTTCGATCATACAGTGGTCTGTTAGTTCAGTAAGAGAATCTTGTTTGATCCTGCAATGCGCAGATTAAAATCTAGCTGTGCTCTGCAGCCAGCCTAATTTTTAAATACCAACTGGAGCTGTGGTTGTAGAATATCTTGGTTACTCAGACCTCATTTGTCTTATAAAAGTGCTCACAGGATTCTGGGGAACAGCAAACTTGTTCTTTTTGTGTACACCCAACCGTGAAGGCATCTGCTGAAAGTGGAGAAACTCTGCTGCATAGTGCTACTTATTTTATATGCTGGATATCCAAAATGGTTGCCTAACAACACTAATAGATGATTTTGATGGGTAGTGAAATAGGAGATCTAAATAACTGCTCTTACAGAGATATTAACAACAGTCTGATATGGAGTGCAGCATGAAAGATTGTATGTTTAACTGTTTCAGTATTATATTATGATTTTTGTTATGTTAAAAATGGCTTTACACTGTACAGCTTTAGTTTTCAATAAAATAAAAAACCTCTTATGAATATCTCCCAGAATGTATTTAAAAATGCAGTATTTCCCTAATCCTAGATCAGTACGTTGACTCGGTGCTACACACTTAACTTCTGTTGGTAAAAACTGTACCATATTTAGCAAATATATGCATCTCTCTCTTTCAAAGCTTCCGTGAAGGACATCTTTCTCAAAAATACATTGAAATTATGCAGTTGTATTTAAATTTTAAACATTCAAAACATCATCAAGGTTGTAATCACATTCATAGCTTTTCCTTCTCAGATGTTAAGTTCTGAATATTTTCTAAAATGCAGAATCAAAATCTTATTTACTTGCAATATTCCTCTTAAAATAGAATTAATTATAGTACTATTAAAAATTCTAATTTCTCATATGTCTTGCCATATGTGCAATTTAAAATCATACTATTATTTTAATATTTATAAAATCTGTATAGTTTAATGGGCCACTTGATGCCTCAGATGTGCCAGCTATAAAATCAATAATTCTGCACAGGAAGTATTTATTAATATATGAAGTTTTTTCCTAAAGAATTATTTAATTATGGAAGTAATAGTTTCAGTGTGTATGTTAATGAAAGCAAAGTATAATTCTTAAAATTATTTTAATAGTTTAACTTTTCTAGTAGCAAAAACAGTACAAAAAAATGTATTGATTCAGTATGCATTTTCTGTATTTTATCAGGCAAAAAGGAAGAAAGGATCTGCCAGAAAATGACAATCAGGACAACCATAAGAAAAAATGACTGTATAAGTCAAAGCCCGGTAAGCATAAAAGGCCTGTGTTTGATGCTGGGCCTATGGCATGCCAAATAAAGTATTATGAAGTGGGCTATAGCTATCAACAAGCAACAAAAAATGCTGCTATCTTCTCAGAAGCAGACCTTTGACCCTAGAAATGTTATCCTACTTGTGAATGGAGTAAAATTAGCTGTTCCTATGGCTGGAAGACTGAGCCCTCCTACCTGGAAAAACATCTGGCTTCAAATGAAAAGTACACAGCATAACTGCTTGTAGCTAACAAAGGCATTGAACCCTTCAGCATGAAATAACGTGCCACTCTAAAAGAGGAGTAGAAATGCTTCCACTTAGGATGTGATGGAAACATTGCTGCATTCCTCTCTGAAGACTTTTAATCTCTGGGTGTCTTCTCCTCCACATAGCATTTGCCTCCATATCTTAAATTTATGATCCCATTTATTTATGGGTCTACTTAAGACATCTTATTTCTCAGCTTTGGTGTAACCCCATCTACAAAACCCAGGACAAATCCAATCAGCGAATGTGTTTCTCATGTAGCACTTAAAGGAGAATCAATCAACACGTTATCCTGAGATTTCCTAAAGGCCTCTGGTAAGATTCTGTTGAAGAACCTAACCAGTCATAAGTCAAGAGGCAAAATATCATCACAGATTGAAAGCTGAGCAGGTTAATTTCCATCCTAATAGAAGGTCAACAGTGACACGTCCAAAGTCAGTAGTAGAAATAAATGTGTGTGGTGTATTTATTTAGTTTTAGAAGCAGGGTTGGTAATGAGGGAGTATAAATACGTAGATGAAATTACAGTTACTTGCCGTAGTTAAGAGGAGAGATGACTGTGGACAGCTTCACAGTTACTTCAACAACCTAGGTTATGGAACAGCCATATGACAAAATGAAGACATGGTATTGACTAAAGCAACAAATGATGAAAAGAAACATTTAGTCAAACCTCATAGGTTTTTTAATTATCTGAAAATGACCTTGCCCTTGCATCCAGTTCTGTGAAAACCCCTCTTAAATGCTCTCCAGCAGACTGAAAGGCTAATTAAGAGTTATGACATTTATTTAGGTAATAGGATAAGGAGTGCAAAGAAGCTCATTCTCGTGTCTCTTACAAGCCAATGGTGCAGCACTATTGAGGGTGCTCTGTGCAGTTACAGTCCCTCTACGCTGCTGCACAGTTGCAGAGGGTTCATAGAAGAGCAATGGGAATGTTCACCAGGTTGTTCCATGAATGGCACAACAAATGAAGCCTTCTATTTTATGACTTTCTACAGTCGATTCTTTATCTTTCCCTCCCCCTCTACCCGCCTTCGAAAAAGACCTACCCCCATCCCACCACCATCCATATTACAACCCACTTTCCCCAGTATCTTCTTGTTCCCCATTTCACTGATGGATGCCCACCCTTCCCACAGTCCAGATTCTCTTCACCCAGAAGTGCCTCCAGATTCTCATGACCTCAGAGTATCTATTCATATCCTTAGCTCCACTTCCCTCCCTCTCCAGCTCCCCCAGTGCAAAACCCCTGGCACTCTATTTCAATCGCAGGGTTTTGGCCCCTCCAAGGCGCTATCGCTACGGCTGGTTTGGAACTACATACATGTTTGGCCAGATTGATGTTGTCAAACTTTGGATAGAGCTAAGTATCATTACACTTGATTAGTTAATAACTGAGATTATTAGTTCTTAGGACAAGGTCTTTTTTTTTCCCCTGACAAATTTTAGGAAAGCTGTACAAGTAGCTTTTTGGTTTTACTTGTTTGGCTAAGGCCCATTCGTTCACAGGCTGTTTGTATCGGAGTGGATCAAAGCATCCTTCATATGCCTCACTTGCATAAACAATCAGATTTAAAACTATGACAGAAAGAACTAGATCTATTATTCTCAATTTCCCAGCATATCACTCTGCTTAAATTTTAATTAAAAAGTATCAACTCCTTTTCTGTCAGAGTATCAGCTGACCATTCACATAACGTAACAGTGAGAGGAAGCTTTGCCCTGCTGAAGTCTACAGCACAAATAATTTTATAGCCAGTCTTTTCCCTTGATGGTTTGTTACTGCACCTACTTTTTGGATATATTTGTTACAGTAATAACACAACTAGTATTGGTGTGCCCTTAGTCACAAGCATTATGAGTAAGCAAGGGAAATGCTTTTGCACTGATACGCTTTTCCTCTTGCACTTTCAATGAGAAGGATAGGCTTTCCTTTGCTTTGCTTAGAAGAATTTAACTTTTCAATGGTGAATATGAAAACAACATGAATTTAGCTATGCTGTTTTGAAGTTATTAATTTGTAAACTAGGGATTCGATTTTGGCATCCACAGCACAACATTTTGCTCAAGGTTAAGACAGAATACCTGACAAATAAAAAAAATAATATTAAGAGTGTGTCTACACTTAGAATGAATGTATTTTAGAAGATAAAATAATTTTGAAGACCAGAGTCCTTCTCAAATGTAAAAATGGGTTTTAATCACAAGTAAGTTTGAAATGCAGTATGTTTATAACAAAATCTGACATGTCTAATTTTAGTTCTTCTTTTACTCATAGATAAATGTGGCTTCTTGTGATGGAAAATGCCCATCTGCAACGATTTTCAGTGTCAATATTGATAGCCATTTAAGATTCTGTAAATGTTGTCGAGAAATTGGAAAACGTAATCTGACTGTGCCACTACGCTGTTCAGGAAATGGCACTGAAATTATGTACATCATTCAAGAGCCGATAGACTGCTCATGCCAATGGAACTAAACAGTACTGTGGATGATTCAGTCTGTGGATTATACTGTGGATGATTTAATCTGAAAAATTAAAATTAGTTTCCTTTCACCAGACTCTTTTTTTGACCTTGGATGGCTATAGTACTCTGCAGGGGAGGGAAAAAAAAGATGTCCTCAATTATGATTGATAATGTAATTTTTCACAGATTTAGTGAAGACGATGTTTGTTTTTCTTCAAATTTTCTTTTTAAATATTGGCATGTATGGAAATAAAAATATAAATCCCTTTGAACGAGGTATAATTTAGCCATCAACTATATCTACACAGTGGCTTTCCGATGAGCTGTTGAAAGCTGGCTAATGTCTGTGTTTCCAGTGTTTTAAAATTTTGGATTGTGGCTAGCTATGAAGTTCAGAATTTCTCAGTGGATCTTTTCCTTTTACTTTGAAACTTCCAGTTGAGAACCATCACTGGTCCCATGTTTAAATGGGAAAGAAGCACATTGGGATTTTGAGAATGACTGAACTAATTTATTAAAAAAATTGTGGGCTCAACTGAAACATTTTTTATCTTGCTGAAAAATCTATCTTTTGTCCATTAAACTGTTGTCAGTGACTGGACTCTACTTACACTGTAAATCACCGAGAAATGCCACAACTATGGTCTGTAAATATCTCTAGTGTATCTCCGGAGCATATAGTAGAATGGTAGTAACGTCTTTAAACATCAGACATTTAATTTTTATATATGTGATATATGTGAAGCATGACTAGGCAAAGGCTGAAGACTTCAAGTTTCTGTGCCTTTATTAACAATATCTAAAAGCTGTTTCTGATATGAAGGATTCTATATCAAATTTTCAGTTTTCACAAATAAAGAATTGGCTGTCTACTAGCTGTAGAGAAAGATTCTATGTATATATATTTATTAAAAAAAACAGGATACTGCACACTTTAACTATTCATAATGGGTTTCTTCATTTTCCAGTTAGAAGATTTGTGTTCAGTATATTTTTATAAAATACATAAAAATTGTTGTTTGTGGTTTTGTTTGGTTTGTTTTTTTTTTTTTTAATACTGAGATTTGGATGATTGACTGAATTTAGGATGCATAATTTTTGAGTCCAGGAAAAAAATTCAGGTAAAATATATAATTTGAAGGATTTAGCTGAGCTATTCACGTTCAATCAGGATGTGAAAGTCCATGATTCAGCACCTTAAGCTGAATATGCTCTCCCTTTTATTAAACATACTACATAATCTATTTTAAAAACTAAGGTTACAATTTTAGGCTTGTTTTTAGAAGATTGCTTTATAAATTCACTGATGAAACTGGTTTAAATGATGACAGTATTTTCCTTATCATGGAAATTGTTTCAGAATTAAAATACTTGTCTAAGAGTCTGAAAACTTTTTGACAAACAGTTTTTATTTCAAGCAGTCATCATTTAATTACAAAAAGATTGGATTATCACATTGGTTTATACAATGAAAAATAAGCAATATAAAATTAAAAAAACTTACAATCCAAGGCTACTTTGCTACTTTGTGTGAAATACCTTTAAATGTTTGCTGTATCTAGTTTGAAGGCTTATAAATAGCGTATACAGTGAAATCTGTCTTTACTAACAAGACTGTCATCTACTCATACATCTCTTTAAAAATACTGACATGGTTTAAAAATTAAAGAACAATCCATTGTATTATCAGTAAACTATTTAACCACTATAAAGAAATAGTGATCACCTAGCAATCAAAGCGCTGTTTTGAGAAAGCATATGCTCCATTTGCACGTTTTTATGACTTGTATGGCAGATATTTCAAGTTGTCTTATATATTAGGGCCTAGAATCAAAATATTCTGATATTGCTGTTGGAATTTGTGTACAGAACGTTTTCATGCAAGCCAGAAATGGAAATTAAATCATAGCCATAGCTGTAAAGTTTATGTACTTGTACAGCAAATTAAAAAGACAACTTTTAAAAGAAAAATACATCCTTAAGGCCTTTTGATTTATTAACATAGAGATAGGAATTCTATATTTGCATCAAGAGGGTTTGGCTGAAAACTTCATCAATTTAGCATCTGATAAATTACTTACAGAAGCTCCTACAAGATAGCATTTTTCCATATAATGACCAAACACTTGATGTGTTTTGATTAAACAGCTATGCTTTTTATAAGCAATGTGCTTTTCTAAGATTTCGAATGGTATTTGTAATTAAAGAGAAATTAATAAACATTATTTTGCATAATGATAATAAATGTGTTGATTTAATTAATTTACCTGTGCCACTAAAGATGAATGGTAATGCAAAATCTTAGACAAACCTGGAAGTTATAAAAGCAGTTATGCTTAAAATGAACTCCATGATAACCTGTAATAGGTAAAATGGTATTAAAAGATCTTTTTCCCACTTACTCAATTCAGTCTTTTAAGTGCAATAATCAGTAGGAACTGTTTCAGGATCCTCCCTGAGCCTACATCAAAATCTTACATCTTCAGTGGAGCTGGATATGGTCTAAGATTGCCTTTCATTTTACAATTAAACTTAAAATTCAGGCTGCTTTGGCCTGGTCAGAAAATGAACATCTATTAAAACTTGTGAACCATTTTCTGGACAGCCACCCCACCCCCATTAGCCCCATGAAGGTGACAGTGGCATAATGCAGTACGTGTTACGTAACGTGAACCAGCCCTCGCAGGCCTTGCAATGGACGGAAGGTTTGAATGAGCCGGCAGCGTGGCGGGGCTGTTCTGCTCCAAAGGTTTTCTTTGTAACTTAAATATAAATGTAGGTGCAGTTCATGGTTCCGTCTTGGATTCCTCATCTCTCCTCAACTCTGCATTCCTGCCTCAACCCCTCAGCCCCAAACTGCGGGCAACCCTCGTTGCGCAGGCATCTTGTGAGCTGCTTTAGAAAGCTGATCCAACTCAAACCTAACCTATTTAAATAACAAAATTAATTAATTGTTATTGACTAAAAGAGCTTTAATACCCACAGAGTTCCCTCCCTTCCACTCCCCTTGGAAACTAAGACTCGAGGAACTTCTACTCCCCCAGCAGAAAGGCTGGGAATGCCTGCCTCTCTGAAACTCCCACGCTGGCACGGGAACGCGCGAGGAGCTGGGGGGAGGCTGTGGGGCAGGACACTCCAGCCCTGCCCTTTCCCCCTTTCGTAGCTGGTTGCACTTGTCCTTCACTCCCACATTTCCACTGCTCTGCTCTCCAACTTATGCTCGCAACAGGAATTCCACAATACAAAGCCTTACCCATAAAACTATGCATTTTTTTTTTTCCTAGGGATTAATGTAAATCTATCTTTACACTTAGAATCAGATTGTAACTAAACATGCTTCTGTAAAATAGTAAAGCTTTGACCATATTATTTATAATATCTGACTTTTATAATTCCATTGCCTTATTACCAAATCATTTAAGACCAATTCTTGCCCCAGTACACAATCAGAATTTGTGACACAACTTTTAATATTGCATTTAAGCCACTTACTGTGTGCTTTCATTAATAAAATTCAAGATGTTGAGTACAGCTATACAGGCGGCTAATATTCTCATTTTTAGCTAGCCAAATCTGTACACTAAAAATCAAAAGTAAAACTTAATACATTCGCATGATTTATTACTTTTCCACATTGCAGGCAGAGGCCTGCCCAAATACATGTACCTGTGAATCAGTCAAAAAGCTATTTGCACTGAGGTCTTCGTCACTACTTTCTTTTGAGAACAGGATCAGGCCTGAAATATGGTGTTTGAACATAGTAACAAACCATGTAATATACTGAAAGGTGGAGGCTTTTACAAGCACGCAGTCCAGCGTGACAAATGGTCACTGTGCTGTTCACTGTGCTTAAACAGTCACAAACTGCTGCTTCAGATGTGGCTCCTTTCTTCATTTTCTCTCACTCCATTTTTCCTGACACAAAATTAATTTTTTTCTCTTGAACTTCTGCACTGTTGATGAACTCAGCTTATAGAGCTTGGATAATTATTTTTTTTTCACTTGTGCATTGCTTCTGTATGGTTCTTTCCACTTCTTCTTCAATCTCTCCTTTCATAGCAATTTAAAGGACAAATCCAATTTCCAAATATTACAGAGGTTCACCTTTGTGTAAAAACTTACTGTCAAATCAATGTGGAGGTACCAATCACAAATACTGTGGCAGTTGGAAACACTGACTTGAACTAATTTTCTCAAGTTCTGTCCCATCAAATCCTTTTCCAGAGGTTACCTTGAGGTTACATGGCTGGTGCAATCATGCATGGGTGTATTTCCTATGGAAAAATCCCACAGGAGTGTGTTCTAGTACAGGGGACAACCCATAAATGAGTTGTTACACATAACCACAGCAATATAGCGATCATGGAAGGGCAGCGTGAAGGCCGGAACATCAGCAGAAAATTTTTATAGTTACAGTGGAATATGGGTACAATATTTCCTAGTTGAGGTTGGATTTCACACTCCCAACCATTCTGGGGAATATATTTTCAAAAATCATTCATGATGTGAACGTGAAAGATCTTTCAAAGGCTGGACTTCAGCACTCAACATTAATGCAAAAGAAAAAAAGGCTTTTATTGAGGAGATGTTATGGTTGAGAGGATCTGTATATAACACTGTGTGCTAAATTGTCTCTAACCTTTCTTTAAATGCCAAGTGGAATGTGCAAGATGCTTACAGAACAAGGAAACCTGAAAAATTATCTATCCATTATCATGAACTAGTCACCGCAGTTTAGGGTGGAAGGGCATATCCAGAGCTGAAGAACAACGAACTCTAGCAGCTGCAAATACAATTCATAGACCAGTTCTTGGCAGCCGCATACTGACCGTTCTAGAAGTGCCTTTTTTTGCCTATTTTAAAAAATAATTCTATATATATACCAATTAGGTAGTCATATGCCTATTGAAATCAGTGGTAAAAGATGCCCTAAGATCAGAGATCTAAGAATCTCACTCAAAAGAGCTAAGTCTGAAAAAAAAGCCTTATACATGTAGTTTCTACTTTTACAAGTATTTTTTTTTTTTTTTATGAATAATAGGGGAACTTGAAGAGCTGCTTCTGTACTGATTTTGCATTCTGGAGAAAACCAATAGTTAATGATGTTAAAATGCAATCGCTAGAAATGCTGAATAGAAGAAAAATGGTTATGTTTTGGGGAGTGTTATTTTGATTAAGGTGGAATGTGCCACACATACTTAATTTAATGAGGTTAAAAAAGAGAGGGCTCCTGCTGTTGTCTTGAAAATTGCCTCATAAATAAAGCCTCCCTTTTGCTTGGTGATTACAAAGTGCTCTGGAAAAAAATTGAATATGTCTGCTTTTGTAAACCAGCTGAATAGACAGCAGCTAACTTCTGGTATTTATAGCTAAAATAGCATTCAGGTTATACCCATGTGCACTCTGTCTGCGAGTGTTTCTCAGAAAGAGAGGGACAGGCACAGCATTTTGAGATTAGGGGTTTCACTGCAGCAGCTTCTGATTTACTATGTCTTTGAGCCTGGGTAACTTAAAAACTCTGAAATGGTATTTTTTTCTGGTGAGATTAAGCCTGCCTTGTTTACTAGAATTTCCAAATAAAGCTCTAATTAAAAATCGTATTCCTTATTTCACGATTCAAAGTTCAGTTGGGTAGAGGTTTTAGGATAAATGAGGTACAATCCACTGAAGAACAAGATACTATCTTAAGGCAGAAATAATATATGATGTGATGACAACACCTAAGAAAACACACAGTGAATAATTTGTTGCTCATTTTTATGGTACATATGTATTAGTGGCACTAATTTCTATTTACTCTGTAATTAATTTGTCTGGAAATAATTGGTAGACAATTTTTATCACTTTATTAAACTGATTCAATTTCAAAGTGCACAGTGGAAAACTAATTGTCTATTAAAAAGAGTTAATTTGAGGAAGGTTGGGGCACTGGGAATCATACTGAGGTAAGTTTACCTCTGAATTCACTGCTTCATATCTGGCCAAAGGTGGATGTCACACAAAGGTTTTGTGTGTGCAGAGTTCATATCCAGTAGTAGCCTTTGGGAAACAAATTAGTGGTACTACTGTTACGTATTCTGGTCCATTCTTTGCTTATGGATTCTTGTACTGGTAACTTTGTGGTGGACCTCTATATGGAGGCCAGTAACTTGATAAGGAGAATCAGAAATTCTGCCTCAAAGAGAAATTCTGCCCCCAGAAGGTAAATGAGGACCTCTACAGTGACTCCAGCAGTGAGACAATCCCAGTGTCTATTTCCCCTCTGAGGCCAATCTTCGTGTTTTACAGTAGGGATACTCACTGGTGAAGAAACTGGTGTCACACTGGGGAGCAACTGTATGGGTTCTGAGATCAACTTTATTTCTGAGACCAACTTCATTCCTAAGTAGTCTGATTTAACCCTTTTCATGTAAAACCTGGAACTAAGAAATGTCCGAGTCTAGCTAGCTAGTTAAAGGGATACAATGCAGTACTCAATACTAGCTGCTTTGATTGCATTTGTTACTAATACTTCCCAGAGACATACTCTGTAGTGCCCAAGCAGAAAGTATTTTCTCGAAGGAAGATAAAGCCAGTACTCCCAGGAACAACTTTCATACTTTGCACACAATTACAAACCCCCAAAGACATAGCCATTACACACAAAACGAGATGGTGAACATCTGCTCGCAGGGAATTTAAGATGGGTCCATATTCCAGTGCACTTGGGTAACAAAACACTAAAATCAAGTCGGAGCTCATCAGTTGGGTTGCTGCCTTACAAAGCGCACAAGCTCCTTACACGAACAGCCTACAGCACGCAGCTCCTTAACACCCCATGTGCCTTTCAGCGTTTCCCTTCAGCCTGGTACTTGCAGGATTAGTTCGACTGTGACTCCCTATATACATATACATCTATCTTAGCATTCCAGACATTTTTAATTTTAACGAAGGCTTAGCGGTGCTGGGCGCCCGGTGGCTGCGCGGCGGGGCCTCACCGCCGGCGGCAGGAGGGCACCGGGCCGCGCTGCGCCGCCGCTTCCCCTCACGCCGGCCTCGGGGCCGGCCTGGCGAGCCCCCGGGAGCGGAGCTGAGCCCCCGGGAGCGGAGCTGCACCTCCGGGAGCGGGAAATATGAGGGAAGTTTCGGGTTTGAACCCCCGCCACGGCTTCTCTGGGCACTAGCGAACCTGAAGGCCGGCAGCCGTGCCCCCGCCATGCGG